TACTTCGAAGTAGGAGTTAGGAATGTCCCAAAGAAACTCATCCATGAAACATCTTATAACTTGACGGAAAATTGATGAGTGGGATAAGTGCAGTAATTTTAGTTGTATGTGATTAAAACATTGGGAAACTAAATGATAGTCTGCCAGAAACAGAACAACTCTCACGTGGTAAAAATTCTTTTCGTCTCGGATCATAAGCTCGGCGTCCTTCCAGCCCTAACATTGGGCCACCAGACGGAACTTATAGACCCTGAAAAGTTTCTTCTGTATGTATTACCGAATCTGGCCATATCTGCAAGCGAAAGTATGCATACGACGTGGCCAACCGATAAAAGTGTGAGTTCATGTTAAAAGATGGAAACCTGAAGCCAATGCAGAAAGATTTTTGCATTTGAAAATCATTGGGCAACTGCAAAGCAACGTGCAAGAAATCATGGAGATCGCAGGAGCCAAGGTCGTGCAACCGGTAACAAGGGTAAAATACAGGCGGCTTCGAAGAGACCGGGAGATTTTATCATTGATTTAAAAAAGGTAGGTATCTGTGGCATTTTTTGAGCAGAAGAAAGCAGTAAATCTAAGTTAGAAGCTGGGTCACCCGTATCAATCAACAGTTAGTTCGGAATTAAACGTCAACATATCTCCCCCATCTAAGCTCTAGGATCCAGTACGTTTCCATAAGACTCTAAGTTATGTAAACTTAATCGATATTACGTACCAGACTCCTTTATGTGAAGGAAGGGAAAAGTCCATGCTAAGTTCAGTCATTTAGCCAAGACGCTGTCACCACAGAGAACTTTAATTTGATTTTCTCTAACTAGAGGCAGGACAACTTGACACTGCCTTGTGTAGTCGACCGATAACTTACACGCGCAGTTAAAAAGCCAGGGCCATAAAACAAATTTCCGAGGCGACAAATTGAGAGGCTCATATGTGAAGTCGTAAAGATTGGACTGCTCTTCTGCTAACGATTAAGTGGTGAATGGAGGTGTACAGGCCTATCTCAACTGTAAGCATAGAGATAAGATCCAAGCTGTGTTCCGGTTGGACAATGGCGAATGACCACCCTGAGGTATCTGTTGCGCTTGTTGCCGTTCCATTAGGCCAAACTAAAGTTGCGATAAAATGTCTCCTGCGGGTTTCATGACTGAGGAAGTTCAGCTTCCTATCAGCTATTACCATAGACTGCGCCATCGTTTGGTTATATAACACCGTTAAGGTGAACCTCTCAACCGAAAAGAGACGGTACCTCACATTTCAGTTCACAAAAGAATGTCACAAACGAACTGTTTCTGAGAGAGTTCAATGGTAGCACACATGCCCATACGGAATCAATATAACGCGAAGGTGGCAGAATTGGAAGGTCCGTTCGGAAAAAGCTTCTCAGGAAACTTAGATGAATCAAAAGAACTTATACTTTTATGTGGCTGGGATAAAGACCTGTCCACTAGAGAGGATGCTTTATGAAGATCCCAAATGGAGGCGGCACAGATATGAAAATGCCTACGAAATTTCAATATCAAAAAGAATCGTCACGCATCTAGTTGAACGTCTATACAACCAAGTGTGAATTAAAAATGGTCGTATATGTATCAACCGATGCACGGTGAAACCGGCAGCCAGGCGAAAACGTGGGTGTAGGGAAGGAAGCAGAGTTAAAATATACCTGAGCCACCATCTGAAAAATAGAAGAGCTGTTGACACCCCAGTAATGGATCCATCCTGCTGACTCTGATGGGGCTTCATCTTCAGTTGTGGTAGTTACCATTTAGGAAGAGGCCTACCTCCCTCCACTGGTATCTTGGAACAGTATCGCTCATTTCTTCAAGTAATGCCCAAGTTGATATCTGTAGAATGCCATCACTTAATCTTGGGGGGCGGGGTTGACTTCTCTATTCTTCACCTAGAGCAGGGCCGAGCAAGTCCTAGCCTGGCGTTCGACTGAGGTCTTCCAATTACCACCAGAAATGCTGGCTCTTATCTATATTTGACAGCGAATCTTATTTTGGTAGAAAGGAAAACAGACAAAACTGGGCTATCTTGTAACTCTCGAACATATACTAGTGGAGAACTTTCAGATTCAAGCTCCTACAAGTCGCGCTAATCATGACTTTGTAACGCTTGATCTGGTGGTTGGCGAATAAGAGAGATCCCCCTTGTCTCTCTAACATCAGAGGCAATCACGGAATGATGGATGAATGGCTGTCGATAGTCCCATGACATCAGGATTCAGCTTCATATTGACCTACTATGAAGGGGAAGTGATAGTGGAAATCGTCTGGATAGTGATCTTCAAATTCTTTCTCTTAGTTGTTACAACTCCTAAGAAGCGGGACTCATAGGTGAAAAGAGGCAGCGAGCACCTCCTGAAGGCAGAAATGAGGACGTAGCACAGATGATGGCCCTTTAGAAATAGTACGTCACCGTTTATTTACGGTTGCAAGGCACTGAATCAATATCACAATGTTGGGAGTGAGGAATTCGTTTCAGATAAACCACAAGAACCCTTGTCTATCCATGACGAGTAGAAAATCTGCCGGCAAAGTAGCAAGGGGATATAGGGTCAAGATAGGAGAACCTCCATGAAATGAAGACTGCAGGACTGATCAAGCTCACCCTAGGCACACAACTAATCATCCTGTCGCCTAGCAACACACATCAGTGGTCTGAACAGCCTCCAAAGTTATCCGTAGTAAAAGAGCCGCGGCAATCACGGGCGCCTCCCCTATAATTTTCACAAGACTGTTGAAGCTCTACATATGAAAAGTCAAAGGGATACTGCAGCAGTAACCTTCCTGTGTCGAAATAGTGTATGAGCGCGTGGCACAGTCAGCTCTTCACTGTTTCTCAACTCTGGTCAGATAAAAGTAATCGTACCATTATCTCTCCTATCTTCAGAGGACGAGATGAGCACGATCCTAAATCCTAGTGACCTTTAAACTTCGAGTTCCCTTTTCATGAGATTCTTCTGCCTCCTGCCCTGGTCTTTGACACGCTTCTATACGCCATTTCTTTACGCAAAATGGGAAGACTGAGTACCAGCAGTGAGGTCTCGTCCTGGTTGGGATACCATTAGGCGGCAGGGATTTCTGCACAAAAGTCAATGGCGTTCCCCTAGTTTGGAGAACGTCATCGTTAGGGATATCTCAAGAAGAGGTTCTGGGCAATTTGTTGCTCCTACTGATTGCGAATGACGTTTCATCGAGTCTTAGCTCTTCGATTCTACTCCAACAATATGAAGCTTTGGAGTTTAGCTGATCTAGTCTTTCCCCACGGGACAGATTCGAAAGGCCTGTCGTCAGCTTAGAACCCACCCTATGAACACGCTTGAATACGTCAGCATCCGTTTTTAGGTATGGGCTGGCTGCCTGAATGCAGTATTCCGAGGTGCATTATTACACCCTCATTAGAGTTGATTTCCAGGCACCAGCGTTTGGACCGACCTACTGGTTCATCTTAATCTACTTGAAGCGCATACGTATCCGTATCACTGCATATGGCTCTACAACTTTCCACATCATCAGCAAATGGCAGCACCAAAGAGTTAAGCATTTTTGGTAATTTGTTGATTTGTAGCAAGAAAAGCAGTGAACCTAGGATTGTTCACTGAGGAACTCCATTCATTACAGTATTCCTTTTACCCTCCTGCTTTGCCTTCTATCGCACAGGAAGTCCCTAATCCAGGCTTACAATAAAGCACCAAACTCGAAAGAGGAGAGCTTTCCTAGTAATTTTACGTGCCATACTTTGTCGAATGCCTTACTGAGGCCTATAAACCTGGCATCTATTGGCAGCTCGCAATCGCGGGCTGCAACCTATTCCTCTCGTGCGGTAAAAGGGTTTGTTAAACAGGAGTATCCAGTGCTAAAACCACTTTGCTATAATGCCAAAAGACTAGTTGATTCAGCATGTTTAAGTACCTTATCGTGAATTATTTTTAAAAAATCTTAATAACTACGGTAGTTAGACTCACAGGGCGATGGTTAGACACAAACTGACGATTACCGGCCTTAAAAGCTAGGCTGACTATGGCATCTTTCCAGCCTCTAGGTAGGCGTGTCTGCTATAGGGACATACGGAAAAGATCAGTGACTGGCTCAGCAATAATGTCCACCAGCAAAGATGGCAGTTTGGGGTGTAACTCATCGGGATCCGGGGATTTTCCAGGTTCAAGACTGATGAGCAACTGTAAAACTCCACCCTTTGCTACGAACACTGTTTCCACTAGTAGAGCAGTGCTGAAGTCACTACTGAGCACCCCATCGTCATGATCTACAGAGTAGGCTTCACTAAAGTAATCCGATAGACATTCAGTTTTGGACAGATTAGATTCCACCAGACCATAAGAAATTAATCATTCTCCAGCGAGGGAATTTCAGACTTTCTTTCTGTCTTCCTTCTGACAAATGCAAACAGTATGTCAGGACAATTTTGGCCATCCCTAACAAGCCATTTCTCACAGGACATCCGAGACTGTAATCAAGGTTTTGCAGCGATTACGGACTTTACAGAACACAGTTTTTTATGTTTTCGGTCTAGTTGCTGTAAACAAGTCCAACAAATGTCCCCTCTACCTTAGTAGTCTCTAAAAGTCTTTAAAGAACTATCGAGGGTAATGTGGTGATCTTCGAGGTGTCGATGATGGAATAAATGGAGTTGTTACCTCTTCATTTCGAGTCCTGAACCTATCCCATGCATTCTCGACTGGTGAGTCCTTGTCAGTGGTCCAATCCTTGCCGACTGCGCAGTCACTTATACTTTAAATATCTGCAAGCTATAAATTATGTCCAGGAGAAGCATTGTCATAACCAAACTCTCAAGTCCGAAAACCGAAGCTTAGCACTACATGGTAGCTGTTAACTAATGCAGGGTTTGCCAGGGTTACGAAGAGACAGTGAATCGACTTGCAGAACTGACATCCGTCAAAGGTCTGTGGCTGTCTCGCTTAAGAAAGCATGAATAAAAGGGTTTGTTTTGAATAGTTGTGATTAGTTGAAAGGTATTGGACATTGAAGGTGTAAGCTCGTTTTAGGCGGAGTATTTGTTATCCGAAAAGTATTTCGTATGTCTAAATTAATTGAGGAGCTTATCGCTCACGGCTTCGAAATTGTTCGGGATGAGTCTGGTCAGGATCTCGTCAAGTTGGTTTTTATGGATGAGAATGATGATGCAACGGGATGTGCTCTGGTTACTCCAGAAGATGCCAAGAAAATTTTATCAGGTCAGGCAACCCTGCAAAATGTCCTAGATGATGAAGGCAAACAAGTTTTGACCCTCACTCCCGTTGTTAGCAATGAATTAGAGGAATTTGAACAGGTAAGTTTCGTTTGGTAACCTAGTGTCTATCATTTGGCAAGTGCATTTGCTCGTGATTGTCATCAGTTTTTTCTTCCTGTATGCAGGAAAAAGATGCTCAGTTAGAGGAAGAGCCCACTTCAAATGCTTCCTCTAAAAAGCAGTGTGAGTCAGAAGGATCTGATGCTGGCACGACCAGAAGGCGAATTCTCGAGAAGGCAGATCCTGGACTCGTTAAATCAGACGAACCCTCTGTTATTAACTTCGCAGGCAGTGGTGTTAGTGACTCTGTAGTGAACTCCAATGATGGTGATACGTCTGAGGTTACACAACTAACCGAAGGAGTCGAACAGTACACTCTGAGTGAACAAACAGCAGTGGTCAACAACATTCATGTTCAGGTTGTTACCATTATGGATTCCCAAGGACAAGTCTTGGATCAAAAGCAGGGTCAAGCTGGGGAACAAGTCATTCTAGAGATGCATGGACAGGCATTTTCCTATGAAATACAAGGACCTACTGCCACTGGAGAACCTATAACAGTATGTTAACTTCAAGCTAGTTACTTAGATTGGTTTTGTATATATTAATGAACTTCAGCTTAATTTCATCAGGCCCAGTCCAAGGTTTTTCTATGCATTAAGATGTGCAGTAGATCATAGTTCAGCGTCTTGATGTTGGGCTTTGTCTAGTTTTCATAATCCGTAGAATAAAATACGTCTGTGGTAATTCTTGTATCTTCCCAACTGTCTTGTTTTCCTCCGTTAATTTTCCCTGATCTTTTAAAAATAACTCATGATGTATAGAGCTTTTAAAGATGTAATTAGGGCCGATGTTACGCTTTTCTAACTGGATAACATAGTCGACATTTGAATTATCGTGGGTAGCTGGTTACGGTCAAACACTAAGCATCCCTTGTATTCACAACTCTCCTTGTCTCTCAAGTGTACGTTACCTAATACGCATCTTATGTGAGAATAAAAAAATGTTAGGACAGAACCTACCCATAAACTATGACAGGAACTAATCAACCATCTCAATATTCTAGTCATTTATGTCGTAATTACCAATACTACTTGCGTAATTCAATTGGTGTAATAACTATTGGAAATTTCGTGAAGGAGTTAGTGTTTTGCATTGTTACATTTGAGAATTTTTAACTGCATCAAAAATATTGTCTAAAATAAGGTGACATTAAATACTGTGGAATCTACGTAGGCGGCGCAGGCCATCTTAATCAGTCATTTATGACACATGAGAATAGCAGTTTATTTTCTGAAGTCGCTGTCATGTGTACATGAATTATATTGCGTGAAGTTGTGCGTAAGATCACGTTTTTCTTCCCCAAATGAGTGGAGGAAGCTGTCTTTGGTGGGCTCCAGCTATATGTATGAAACGATGATAACTAAGAAAATCCCAGACCGGTCGACGTAGTAGCATGGGCACGAATAGAAGAAGACCCTGTCTTATTGCTTGTAGGGACTTTATCACAATTTACATGAAAGGCACGAGGTAGTTTGATCAGGCTGACATCTGAGTTTTCAAGTTCTACCACTATCCGTGTATCTGTAGCCCGGAAACAGCAGTTGGGGGAAATCAACCAGGTTTTTCGGGTATAACTACGGCTTGATTGGTTTTCGTCAACTTTACCCGCTTACGGTGTCTGAGTTGTCCAATTCCTTATTTAGGGTTTAGTGCACTGCACAGTAGTTAGGTTCATCCTACTGTATGGCTGTTTGGGAATCATTAAAGAATGCAAGAAAGCTTCAGATTTTGAACTGTTGTTAGATTGGAAACATTGTTTGCGTATCTTGGAAGTATCACCTTAAAGGTCTAGGGGTTAATTGTAGGGGCCTAGGTGAAATTAGTTAGATGAAGTCATAAAGCTTCAAATGAAGCTCGGGGCGTTTTACGCACGCCTACGATGGCGTGCAATATTGGCTTAGGGTAGGTTGAAAAAGTGCTTAGGTCTACCAAACCAAAACATGGCACAAATCCTTGTGGTTTGTCGGTTTGAGCCGTATGTGGAATTGCAGAACTTCTGATCGTGGGTTGCTTGACAACCAACGAGGATTGTTTGAAATGCTGGGATTCAACAGAGAATCAATCTTCGGGCTAGATGCATCCACATCCCACTTACATTTTGATCGCTGTTTCACGCTGTGTGATTCGCCTCACCTACTTTTTTTGCATAATTCCCTACAAATTTTGATTTCATTAATACTGTCTTCCATTGTTACCTTTTTTCTTGATGTGGTGAGTCTTTGAAGTGATAACAAAACCTATGATAATAGTTAACTTTTTATATGCTCATCGTCAGTTGTGTACTACCGATTTTATGACTCGCCAACGAGATCACTAAGTCTCCTGAAATTCAGTTCGGTATTGTTTTTCTGAAAGTATAATTAAACCATATTGATGACAGAGATTTGATACTTGTTTTGATTGTCAACTATGCTGTTGTGTTGTGTTGTGAATTACTAAGACTGAAGCCCAACTTAATACGTGTGGGCAAAGGGTGGTGGTTGGTTTCTGATCGAGCGTCGTATCACGTGTCTTGTGTGCTCATTTATAGTTTCAGCTGTAAAACCAAGATGTGACTCAGGCTCAAAATGAATAATATAACTATGGAATTCGTTCTGCGTATTGAGCACTTGTTGATGAGATTTCGTGACATATCCGACTATCTATCAAAAGACGAATGTAGTGCGCGGCATTCCATCCTGTCCTGTTATACGGCTCTAAGACGGCCGTTAAACGTCGAAGTCATCAAGAGATTAAGGGTTTTTGATATCACTTTTGGTTTGATTCTTCGTATTCCAGATAAGTTCACGATGAAAGGTTCGACTTGCATTTGAACCAAAATCCTACCACTCCACATTCGGTCGTTGTTTTGGATCTTGTCTGCCGGTTTTGCACGGAAATGTCAGAAATGGACGAATTCTGAAGTTGAATACGACTTAGTGATAAGTTTAGTGTCTGCGTTAAGAGTAAGTGGCGTGACTGTTGCGGAAACTACACTGTAATTCATATATCATACTGCTGTTATGTCTGCAGCTGAACCCGTGAATCTTGACAAATATCCTTCGAAATTTTCCGTAGCATTCTTACTTTGAGTATTATCGAGTTGATCTATCATAATTTTGGAATTTTGATTGAAATTCGAATGAATTCGATGTCCATTAAAGTATATTATGCATTCAGCAACTTTCATCCCCCATTGACGTGGTCATTCATTCCTCTGAATTACTCATTTCTAGTGCAGAGATAGGAATGAAAGTGATCATCCAGCCAACGCAGTTTATAGCCGTTGTACTGGAAAAACAATATATATTTAAACACTAAGTATATATTTTACAGCTGATACAACGTTCTCGTTACTTTCATTTTTTAGTCTACCTTGTTGATTTCATCGGCTGATTCGGATATGCAAGATATTCCCAACCCTACCGAACACAGCACACAGCAGAATCCAAGCGGCCCATCAAACTGGTCTGAGGTATGTTCATTTCCCTTTTTTCTTTAAGTTTGAGGTACAGAAGTCTAAGCAATGAGGGATGTATTTGGCCTTGCTATTTTCCTGACTGATTTAAATGTTCAGACATGTATCCATTATTTGATAGGGTGCTTTTGGGTAGAAAATCAAGTATTTGTTCATATCTTACAAGTAACGTTCAACATGATTTGTGCTAGTTTTACTTTGGCAACGTAGATTACTATTTGGTAGCCAACTTCTGTCTCAGGTAAGTTTTTTGTAACGAGGATGTAGATAGAATGAACTGAATAAAGTGATTACAAGCTCTATATTCAATTATATGTTGGTATGTTCAAGCGCATGGTGAGATATCCGAGGTGTTGCAAACTTTGAATGGATGTCTGTTATCCAACTCTCCTCGAAGTCGATAAAACTGTTTCGATCCTGAAAAGATGCATGGAAGAAGGACCTGACGATTTACCACCCGAAGGTTTTAAGGATGGTGGTAGTAAATTACTGATTAAAGTGAGTGAGTTACTAGGTCGTGTATCAGAATCAGAGGTTGTTCCCTCATACTGGTCTATTTAACTGACAATTCCGGTCTATAAGAAGGGAGGAGAATCAGTTTGACTAGCGTCGTGTCTAAGATCCTGAGGTCCATAGTTATCCGACATCTGATGGGCTGGAATAGCATATTACCATTAATTTCGTGTTTTCCTCCGGTTCTTATCTTAATGTATTGTCATTTTCGAGTTTATCTGTGTTTTTCGGACTCAAGTGTCCGTCTTCTCAAATTTGGCAAACTTCACAAAGTTAGGTATCCCGAGCATGTCATGGAAATCTGAACTTGAATGCGTTTTCGAAAAATGCATGTTAGTTGCCTTAAGTTTATTGGTTCCAGCTGCTTGGGATGGCAGGATGTGTACCCAAGCTTCACTTTGTTAGTGTTTTTTTTTGCAGTGAGAGTTATTTTACTGACAACGTAAGTTTTAAAGCTAGTAATATTACAATAGTTCTTATTTTGTTTCATTTGACGTTTTATTTTTGTTAAGGGTAATATCAGTGGAGCTGATCGAAGTCAAGTTTCTTCTGGATTCAGTGAAACAAATGAAACAACTCCACCCGGTCAACAATTTACCCTTACTGAAGCCACCACAATACAAGATGGTGAGGCAATGCAGCTTGTTTTGCTCTCTGATGAGAACGGCAATGTACTTGACCAAAAACAGGGTCATACGGGTGACCACGTTATTATTGACATGAATGGGAGTTCTTTAGAGTATGTTTTCCTCGGGCCAACAGAAACTGGTGAACCAATTATGGTAAGCTTGTTTGTTTGTATCTAAAAACCATATTTTCCTCTGACTTATCGGTTTTCAGCTGAAAGGCTAGTACGCTATATTTTCGTTATATGCCAGTGAATGTTTTACACTTAACGTTCTTGTGTTTGAATGATGTGTTGTTGCAGCTTGTTATTATGTTATCATTTATAATTCATGTGGTTTAGACTTGTTTTTACGAATAATCGGTGAGGACGTGTTTCTGTCTTATTAAAGCTATGGCTTATCGGTCAGCCAGTTAACCACACGTTTGAGCCTCGTTTCACCTACTGAACACTGGGCAGTCAGGTTGTATCACTAGCTTCTACATAGTTTCTCACATTGCCTACTACGCGGATGTTTACATAATTACGTAGTTGCATTTTATTTTTTTAATTGTTAGTAACTTATGTATTTCGTCCAGTTAGTAATGTCAGACGCTTATTCACTTACTCACTTACTGAGTAATGACTTAGGGTCATTTAGAATTCCACCCCTTGAATTTATCTCGTGTTCTGGGACGGAAAACTGTATTCAACTAATAGCTGTACTTTTTCCGTCGATGATATTTGTAATTTACGCTCCTCTCCCGGAAGTTATCCAGAAGTGCATGTGAATGTGTTAGCTTTATTAATACGATAATACGTTGTTCTCAATTAGGTTTTTATTTAACATCTTAGCCTTAATTTTTTTAGACTACATTGGTCGTCACAACTGAAACAGAAACGGCAGAAAATACTCAGTCCAGTTCTAATCTTGCACAGGAGTCGCCAGACGATACAGAAGCTGGATTGACTGTTGCCAAGTGGTGTCCACCTGGATTACCAACTGAATTTTATGCTATATTGAGAAGACAAGCAGAAGTTGTGGTTGCTACACGTGTTCCACGCTTTGCAGACAGCCCATATCGACCTGAACCATACCACCGAAAGCTTGGTCCTTATACTGCCTATGTGGAGATGCTTGAAATGGTCAATACTTACAGGGTTGGTGCTAGCCAGGGTGAGACGCTGGAACTTTATGAGGCACTGAGGAACTATGCAAAAATCTATCGTCCTTCTGGACCTCATTCTAGAGCTCTTACAAAGTATGAGGTTAGTGAGTTTATAAATGTTTGCAGTAATTACTTGTCATATGCCAAAGATGTAGATAATCTGGTTGTACCATGGTTTTCTCAAACTTAATCTTTATTGGCTTTCAATTCGACTACTACCTTTAGAACTTGGTTACAGTTAGGTTTACATAAAGTTTGTCCCGTTAATCAACGACAATATACCTGTAGAATAGCAAACCAGTAAAACACTACTCCTAATTTCCTGTGCCACGGCGCTGATTTCATACTGAACCTTTGGGTGTTCGAACCCTACACAGAATAGGACGGCAGGTCTCAGTCACGAAAATTCTAGAATATCGGTCGTGGATGCACGCTATGTTCCTGAAACGCACATACAGGACCCAAGTATGATTACTTACAATCTCATCTAGTTAGTGGGTTGAATCTGCAAAACTTAATAGTTTCCGGAAATTCAGTACTTATTTCTTGTGAACTCGCTGGTATAGGCACTGCATCAAGTTGGAGCAGAAAACGAGCTTATTGACAAGATGTCAACCGTCTGTGCGCTTTCGTTAGTGCTTGTTTATAGTCTCCACTCACCTAAACATCCATTGTAGTTCAGGTTATGCGAACAATGCGTTTTGCAATAAGCTGTCAATTTTACCATATAGAGCAAAACACTCAGATATGGTCGTATTGGCAGTACGATTTCAACGCTCTAGTAGAAAAGCTGACCCAATCAGAAACACATCCTGGGAATCCAATATGGGATTTCATTCCGCAACAACCGGCAACACTAGCCGTTCCTTTCAGTTTTGTTCTGGCAATCACTTGTTCCTGACCAGCACTAACTTCAAAAACAGAGATCCATTATCTCACTTGGTGTTTTTCAATATCAGTCCAACGTTTGACACATCCTGGAGGTAAAACCTACGGCTGGAAAGTGCAGTGGGAGGGTCGTCTCACTTTTTTGAATTACTTGGTTGGACTCCAACAATGCGTTACTGTGAGGTGTGTGTGTGTGTTTGCGCACCAATAAGCAGTAGTAAGTAAAAGTCAGTGAATAACTTCGGTCTCACTTAAAGTAATCGTCATGGAAAGGATTACTTAAGTTAGGCTTAATAGCGATGAGGAGCGAAATCCGCGTATACGTAAGTACACAACGTTATCGAACAGTAATGGGTAGCAAAAGAGAAAGAGATGAAGGCATCACCGCTAGGTCATACTCGGTTGTTATTTAGGCTTATTAAGACAGTTTGCATGGAGAATATGATGTTGATTGAGAACATTAATGAAGTGAATGGGTTCTTCAGGACCTGACCTTATAGGTGTTTGGAACGTTAAGAGGAACGCTGAAGTACAGTTAGGGTGAGCTGCGGTTACGACTTAGCTACCCAACATCCAGTATGAAGTTAATTGTAATGTAGATACCGGTCCTCCTCGAAGTTGAGGAGGCATCGTCCTACCTAAACGGATGCAGAACAAAAGGGCCTGACGGTTTACCACCAGAAATTTTCAAGAATGGTGGTAGAAAGTAACTTTGAAGCGAGCTAGATGATAGCTTATGTATAGAAATTAGAGGTAGTCTGGGTCGACTGGTTTAGATTGCTGGTCATTCTAGTGTATAGGATATACGTATGGAAATCAGTTTGACTAGCGCTGTTATCTATGATTCTGGAGTCCATAGTTATCTGATACCCAACTGGGCCTCAAGAGCAACGAAGTTGACAAAACCAGATAAATTTTAGACCTGGACGAGATTGAATCAACCAGTTTTTTACCCTTTGACAGGCTTTGAGATACAGGCATGCCGATACAAGACTGAACATATTTCTCAGTGTAAAAACTGCATTCAGCCGTGCCAACCGAGAAATGTTGCAACCGTGTCTGTTTTTATAATACTGAGAAAACCTAATACGCTAGTTAAGACTGTTTATTCAAACTAATAGATTTCTATGAGGGACACACGGAGGGTTGTTCGCAGTAGCGTCAGTCAGTGGTGGCTTCCAAGAATTTCCACTACTACATTTTCTTTTAGATTTTGATATAGATGTCCCAATAGACTTAGTCTTAATTTCCTCCGACTTTACATGGGTTGAATCATTCCCTGGAAAGTGCCTTGGACTACACAGTTCCGTTAAGTGAAGATGCTGGCAAAATGCAGAGTCTTCTAAACGTTTTCAGCTGAAATCTAAATACGTTTTCCATGGTTTTATTACCTGTCTGATGTAACATTATGCTTTTTGACTAGCCTACGGCGATTCCTAGTTTAAGGATAAATAGTGAAATGGTGGAATGCGTTGTCCACTTCACTTATTTGTGAAGTGGTATCAGCCTGAATAGGCTGGTTGCTGACGCAATCTCAACTCGGATACAGAAGGTCTGTTTGGTGTTTGCGAACTTGCATCATCTCTGGTGCCGGCTGAAAAGATATCCGACCACCTAATAAAGGAAGAGTATACTGCACTGTTGTTCGTTATGTCCTACTACACAGCTATGAGAAACGCTCATTGAATTTATATTTGAAAGGGTTATAGATTTTCGAATACAGGTGTTTTCGTAGCAATGCTCATGTATGATAAAATCAACGTATGAGCAATTTAAAGGCTAGACGAAAGGCACTACATGACGAAGGAAAGTCGATTGGTGTGATTGTCAACCTCCAGTAACTAAAGTGGCTTAGATATGTGTTGCGAAAATTGAACCACCCCCTGCCCAGATTTCCAGTGTTAGTGGAAATAGAATTGGGTTGGAATAAGGCTACAAGGGGATCAGACCACGACATGACGCCAGTCTATATGGTAATTGAACATTGGTCTGAACGATGTAGAAAGTTGTAGGTTCCTGAAATGGATAGGAATCAATGATTGGAGATTCTCTGATGATTTAAAATCGGTCATAGTGGTGCAGTTGCATGTGCTCTTTGTTATCGTTGAAGTCTTGAGTATTCTCATTTTCATGTATTTATACTTTCTTGTCATGTACGTTTGCGTACTTTTGTATCATTCTTCGTCTTCTTTTCATTTCTTTGCGTGATGCTATGAAGTGGGATAACTGGAACATTTGCACTTACATGACAGGTTTTTTTTTTAACTTCCTGTCTTTCACGTAGAATTGGAATAAAATAGTCACAATATTGGCATTAAGAACAATGTGATGAATTAAAACTGATGAATGAAAGACGTTGAATATAACGAGTGTAATAAGTCTGTGAGGTATTTGATAATACTACTAATGGTCAAATTAAAAGTCTCCATACATTTTGCATACCCTGTGTCTATGTAATCAGGCAAATGTTGATGAAAAGGCCAATTTGGTATTATTTTTGACAGTTGCGTATACGCCAGTGACTGAAGCTATTCAGTAAAGATAAAAGGGTAAGACTGGATAACTTGTCTTTTGTTTGCATATCTGTGCTTGTAAACAATCTTTTGCAGACATTTAGTATTGTGTCAGACGTTTGTGCTGATAATACCTTTCTCTTTCGAAATCAAACTATCATTTTGAGATCTGGCGTTACCAGGTACAGTCAGTAGTAAAGTGTTACAGAATCTATTTGTCTCACTCTAATAACTTTATCTTTTATTCTTTCTGAAATTAGCTTGCCTTAAATGAAGCTGCCGCTCAGATTTGTCGGTTTCAACCTGGTCTACTTTTTCATAAACGTGACCTGTATCATCTTGCTAAAGAGACTGTTGAGCGTTCACAGACATTGCTCAATACGGAAAGAAGACAGCAAAACCAACAATTTCAGCAACAACAAGCTCAACAATCTCAAATGAAACAAAATAATAATGCTCAACGTCTAACAAATCAGGCAAATGTACAAAATACATCTAAACCGAAAGTCTCTGCACCTGCTCCCCAACCTCCTCGTACCACTCCACAGACTGTAGCGGTTGGAGGTCGCGTCGCAAGCTCCCAATTAGCTATGCTAGAATCACGTGGACTTTCTGCTATTCAACAGTCAAGTACGACAGTCTCAGTGGCTAATACCATTCCGGTGTACAGTGAAAGTTCAACTTCAGATAACTCTCTAATACCATCAGGTCAACAGAGTTCAACAGCTAATAATACACTGCAGTCGAATAAATCACGGATAATGCCTCCTGAAAACAGGTGGGTTATTCTGTGCTCATTTTTACCGGAGTAGTGTATGTTCAAGTTTATTTTTCAAGCAAACTAACCAATTAGGATTAAATCTATGCTCACTATTGTTAACGTTTATTGGTGAGTGGACCGATTTCAGTGCATGGATATAGACTAGTGCATCATGTATTCTGCTGCCAGACATCACTTAAACGTAGTCGTAGCTGAATAAATAATGTGAAAAGACTTGTCATGACTTATTTAAAGTACTCCGTTTTGTGTAGCGTGGTTGGTTGGTGACTTACAGGTGTTCAATGCAGAGAAAGGCTTTATGTAATCATTATCATTAGTCACTGTAGTTTTCTGGCATAAGTCATTATGCTGTAGGTTTCATGTCATTGTTTTACAAAGTTAGGAATCAAAATATAATAATATTCATTTGCTCCTAAAGTATTTCATATCGTTTTTTCTTTCTTGTTGTTTCTACAATTGTAGCACTCAGTACTTATCTAACCTTCCGATAGTGAAACGTGATTCAGCTTACAAAGTGAGTAGTTCCATATGGAAAGTTATTGTTTTTTGTAATACTGTCATAAAAATATAAAGGATAAAGTTAATTAGTTACTACTCATAGCCAGTATACCTTAGTCTCCGGTAGCTCTCAAGCTGATCGAGTTCGGGACGAAAACTATTTTCAGAATGCTTGTTCCAGCGTACGCATATTTATCCATGAATTGTTGTCCATCACTAGATTAAAGTGAGGACAAATGCATCTAGTTTCTTTCTTAGTTCTTAGTTGTGGTGGTTGGGCAACAGATAGGTATTTCAGCTCTCAGTCACTATCCGAGTGTTCAGTATTATATGACCCCGGTCTTTTGAATTCAGGTCATATCAAGAAATCAGTCATCAGCCGTTCCAAAGTGTTTTAAAGTCGAACGGCTTGGATTAAAATTTTGTTTTTGTTCGAAGCATAGTAGATACCTGTTTTAATCATTTCTGAAGAATCAACTACTGTTTCACCAAATATCCTCCCATTATTCATGTTATAATAATTTCGTTTTCGGAAAAGTAGAGTTTTAGCTCTGGTATAAATGAATGTTTTTTTTACATTTCAGTTGCTACGGAACGAGGAAGAGGCTATTCGTGTTGCTGCCATTGATATTTTGTCAGATTTGCCACAGCTTGAAATCAAACAGAAAGCTGACTGTACAAATATTGAACGCGCATGTTGGGAGCAAGCTCGACAGTTGGCAGCACAAAATGTAGAACAGCTAGATTATGCTTCTGGTAATTTATCAGTTGACCACATCAATCAAATTCAATCCTTTGTGTGTAATGAACCTCGGTTAGATAGTGTTCGAGAGGCGGCTGCACTTTACGGACGTCCACCTGGAGGTATACAGCCACCTAATGTAGCAGGGTTACCACGATCTGCGCCAATACCTGTATTGACGCCTTACGAAGTTGCGTGTAACGAAGCTGCTGCATATTTAGCTTCAGGTTTACCAAGTCTCCTCACTCATAGACGTGAACTGGCCGAGTTAGCAAAGAAGGTAGTGAGAAATTCTGGTTGTCTATTTACCCATACTCCATCATCAGATAAAATGTAAGTGGAGGCTTCTGCCCTTTATTCTGCAGTGTGATTCTCTAATCTTTTGCTGCTGATGTTTGCCTCACACACTTTTACTTGTTTTGCATTTTAGACCGATTGGTGGTGGTGGCTATCGATTCTACTGCTCAGATCAACTTCCTGAGCTTGACCTGTCAGCAGCGGAACAACTTTTGTCAAATCCCCTTGATGGTAGTGACTCTCCTGATTCTGGTTGTGATATGAGTCCTGGAGGTACTGAGTCTGACGCGCTTAAAGGTATATTAATAAGTTTCTGAAAGTAAATAATTTACTGTACGAAGATTAAAAGCCACTTTATCTCAGTTCCACATTTGTTTTGGTTTCCAGTGTATGACCTCTGAATCAGTACATATTTCTTTAGACTTTTAATTGGCTCTTGAATGAAAGCCACACTGTGCCAACTGTATTTGCCGTACTTAGAAGCAACACACCAATCAATACCTAAAGTAAGAATAATATGCCCAGTCCTCAGAGCTAATGGGGCTGTGGTTCACTGGTTTAAACAGTTGATCTTCAGCCTTTGAGTCACTGTCTGAAACCCCACTCCACCTAAAAAGGTTTGGGCAGTTAGGTAATATCATCAGTCTTCACACAATATGTCACTGATTGCCTATTGCTCGTAGTTGTTGGTTTTGTTTTGGTTTTTTTTTCTAAGCAAGGCAAAAGTGCATCCCTCGAATTTGTTTGTGTACGTAAGTACACCGGATTGACTTCTAAGGTTACCGTAGTAACTACTAAAATAGTTAATTACGTTTCTTTAGTTTAAGAGGAAGCTACCTTTTCAGTCGAAATAAAAAAATTAATTACATCTGTGGTTTTTGGGATGCCCTTTCGAGTCACTCATTTTTTGTGGTTTTAAACCCCACCCCCACCCCAGCAACTACTGAGATAACCAATTAGGTTTCTCAATTTCTTCTGGAAGGTAGTTATTCCATAGAATAAAGAAATCTAATAGGCTATATCGGTCATTGTTGGGCTAGCTTCTAGAGCTACTGTCAAAAGTCATTCCAATGAAATTATTCAGCTAAAGATTATAAGTGAAATGCGCATGACTGGTGTTCTTGCAATTATTTTGTGTGTGTGTGTGTGTACGTGTGTGTAGAAATTTCCATTTATTTTTGTATCTTACAGGTAAATGTGAATCTCTTCTCCTCTCATGCCAAGAGTGTAATAACATCATAGATGATGTAACAATATTTGTTTCAACTGGAACTGATTCGTTAAAGAAAGTTAGGATTCTAAAGTAAATGCATATTTTTACTGTTTTTATGTGTCGTTTGTGATTATAGAATCGGGTAAGACCATTTAAGTATATTTATAAATTAGGAGGAATTTTAGTTCACTTTGTAAATTAGTTGAGTTTTAGTGAACACTAGCTAATGGTCTTATTTTATCATACAAACCTTGGAGGGATTCGACTATTAATCATTGGGTTATGAGTTTGAGCCTCGTTTCACGAACCGAGGTTTTCGCAGCCAGATAGTATCACCAGCTCTTACACAACAGGTGTGCCTCATTGCCTATTTCACGAGTGTGCACAATATGGTTGGGTGCGTAAATTATTAAAAGAAATAAATGTAGAAACGGGTACTTCAGAAGTTTTATAAGACTAAGCTGGGAATTGTCAATTTCTACAATAAATGTATTAGCATCTAAACTACCGAATTCATTTTTAACAACTAAATATTTTAAACTCCAGTTACTGTCAGTGCTCATCGATACCATTTTTTGTGTTATCAGCCGATATCAGTGTTGCTGACATCAGTTGGAAAATCATTAACTAACAACGCATATTCCTAACATCCTTAGTGTGTTGAACCTTCTAACATGTCATACTGCGTCTATCACAAACCACATTACTCGTTCTGTATTTCATCAACGGACAGTTTTAGTCTGCGACAATCCATCATGCAAATAGTATATGGATGTGACTCTTCGATTTAGTTTAAGTTTATATGGTATCCTATGAGTTTTAGGTAGCACACAAGGACTATAAGTATCTTATGGCTGTCTGGGTTACAGTTGAGGAAGTGGATTTGAAATTGTAACCTAGTTGTTGCCAGTTGAGTGCTTAAATCGTGGAGTTGTAGCTGTTTGATGCTCTTTGCTTTTCAGTCTGGTTGATGCCACTTTACGTGTATTAAGTTGTCCTTTGATCATTAAAGAAATACTTATAGTTGCCATCGTAGTATGAATAGCTCACACTATTGTAGGATTCTAAAGGCGATGTCATAAAAGGTACAACAGCATTGAAGAAAACCAGAATTCCAAGTTTTTTTCTCTACCTTTATCTGGAGGAAAGATTAGAAAAGGTTGCTCCTAAAACCTGAACACTACACCCTATCCTGTGGACTATCGGTACTGTCGGTAAGGTTTTTTTCCTAAGTGTGGACGTAATTTAACTCAGTCTAACTCAGAAGCCTCCAACTTCACATAGATTTCTCATGAGTTCTACGGTCATTTAAGTAGGTCGACCAAACCCATCCTCTGATTTTCTTTCTTACTAAGGATCCCTAAGAAGAACTAATCTTCCATGGCATGAGCGGCTAGGAACTGTTAACTGCCCTCTTAATTTTTGTTATCACTGAAGCCCATTTAGACTTCTATCACCCATCCAATTTGCTACCTTGAATTTTTTAGAAATGTCATTGTTAATTATTTAACGTTTATGTAAAACATTTTCCTGCTCTGAAGCCTGTGATAACGTTTCTGATTCACGGAATAGTATCTCTGATCTCCCTAAACTGCGCCTGAAACAACTTATGGGAGCCTTCAATACCTGCACTGTTTTTCCAATGGAAAAAAGCTTCGCTAGTTGAAACTTATGCCATAGAAGTATGCTGTGCTCATAAAATCTGCATAATAGACCCATGTTCATTTTTTTATTAAACGTCATCTGGGCAGTGTGGTAAATCTGCGGAATTCGACCCTTAAATTATACGTGATCGTCTTGCTGTCACGGTTCTTGCAAGTGTTGTCAAGTCATAAAGTTCACTTTTCATTAGGATCCCCAGTTGACGGCCACTTGATCGCTATTGTATTGAATGGCATATTAAAGACTTAAACAGGTAGTGACACGTATGGTTGCCTTTTTTCAGTCTCTATCCACCCACTGACTGCAGTTTGAAGCGGAAAATAAGTAGCACTAAAATCACTCTGGCCTACTAAGAATCACCCTTTCGGATGTGGTTATTGTAACAAGCGATTTAAATGCACGAGTAGGTAAGCTGAACCAAATATAAAGGTCCTTGGGATGTTTCCGTAACTCTAGCCAGATGGACTGATAACAGTGATCACCTACCACGTTTAGTGAGACTATTGTAGAAAAAGAGTTTGATAGTTGTTTGGTGTCCCTCACGAAGTGAGTGCTCATAAAGTCGTCTATCGTGGTGACGAAACGTACAGAAACATCAAGTTCAGTGTTCGCAAAACACTAAACAATCATGAGAATTATCCTGAGCTACAGATCTCATGTTAGTATCTCAAGGATGCGTTTGCTATCACTTTAACTGGGGAACAGCTAGGACGATGAGCAGAACACAACAAGAAACGATTCAACTGTCATCCGTCTATTCTTTGATGAAACATTATTAAGTGGGCTTCTGAGTGGAACATTGAGATAGGATCTCCAGCTTTCCCAGAAGTTTTGATTGTAGGTAACTAGGAATGACAAAAAGCAGCAGATTCCGACTAGCTTACTTCAGTGGTACTTTTGACAATAAAAATTTGGCAATTCTTAGGAAAGTGTTTCATACCTCTTGAATGTGAAATATATGCATAAAGTCTGGTTTGCGATAATATTTCACCAGATAACAGGGAGTGAAATGGTTGAATTCATTAATCCAACTTACTTGGAAGTTGGATAAGCCATTGTGAGTGGGCGGGTGATGCGACCTTGATGGAAATACAAAAGGGTTGGTTGGTTTTCGTTAAATTCCACCACATTATGGCACCGTTGACAGATCCTATTGCCTACTAAGGGTTACGTGCATTACGCTACTATTTGGGTCTTTCTACTTTTTGTCTGTTAGATACTGTCATTCAGAGTGAAGGATATAAGAATGTTGAACCCACTATCGGCTAGCCGTCATCTACTATGAAGTGCCTTGTCGACTTAGAGCTAGGTTGGATAGAACTGAAGGTGAACAGACTAGAACGTGGCATCAACCCATAAAGTCTGTGACTGCTACTTCGAGATGTGTGTAGGAGTGTAGACTTTCAGGTGCATTTTTACGATATTTAGTTCAATTTATATCCTATTCGGTTGACTTTCATCTGTTCGTCTTTTATCTTAATTTGCCTATATGATAGTATTGCAACTAGGGCCGTTACATGGGGGATACTAAATCCCATGTTGGTATTGTTTGACTGACTTGCTACATGCTACAACAATAGGAGTTTCGATGTGTGATAATTTATATAGTGCAGTGTTAAGCAGCCTTCATCTTTCGTATTTCACCCTGAGTCTGGAGGTAATGTTTATCCGTGTTAACTGTGTCATGGCTTTCTTCATAGCTTGGAAATCCCAAATAATTCTAGTCTATTGGGTTGTTGTATTGGGTTGTTGTGTTAACCTTTTAAGCCTTATGACTATACTATGCATTCAACCTATACTTTATTCATTTGTTGTTACATTTCTCATTGAAAAGTAAGGTGTAATTCATTATTTGTAAAGTGTGCTTCATTAATTATGGTAACATAATGTATACTTTCAACATTATGCCTTCTCCTTTTTCTCTTCCATTTGCTGCATTCCTAGTTTGAGTAATTGTGGATTTACAGGTTTGGTACCGCTTCATCTGAACCAATGTATCAATTTGGTAGAATTGAATCTTTCTGGTAATGCACTGTATGCTTTCCCACGCTGTTTACATCTACCAAAACTGCGTCGTTTAAATCTTAGCGGAAATCCTAACTTATTGCGATCCTTACAACATGTTTCTCAAGTTGAACCACCTCTTATCGAACAGTTTCCAAGACTTGTCTCTTTGGACTTGGATTCTGAACTGGCTGCTGTAAGTATGATCATCACAAGTGTTTATAAATCAACCTTCATTTTATTTTTTTTGTGTCAAATAATCCCTAAATCAAAACCAAAATTGTTTACTTAGGTGTTTTCTGCTCTTTTCATGGTTGTACACTTGATTGTGTGATATTATAATTGCTTGTATTATACCGTCGTTGATTGAACCGAATCGATCAGTCCCCATACCTGTAGCACAAGAAGTGGCTATCGTGGCTCGGTGGTGTAGTGGATAACGCTCTGGCGTTTGAAGCGTGGAGCAGTGTAACAGGCCTCCAGCCAACAGTAGAAACAAGAAAGAGTAGAGAAGTTAATAGAATAAGTTCTACCGCAATCATACATTGATACTATTCTACTTTACTTTATCTCACTACTGTGTATACCAACTGATGATGTGTAAAACTGAAGAAGAACAAGTTGCTATGTGTTAACATGACCTATGATCTAATGGTAATAACTAGTTGACAAGTCAAACCAAACTGGTTATGAATATGAGCAATAAATTCTAGTCAAAAGGTCACCTAGTAAATAATACTAGCAATGGGCCACACCTGTTTATTGTGTGAGGGCTAGTGATACTACCTGGCTGGCCAAACCTCGGTAGGTGGAGCCGGGGCCCAAACCAATGACCAATCAGTTAAAAGCCATCTGCTTTAACTGAATGACCACAGCTCCGCTGTTGACCTACTCATCTGTATGCATGAAATCAGAAACTTTTTGTATCCACTATTGTTGGAAGTTATAACATGTTTACAGTTTTCCATAAATAAATCGTCAATAGCTGATCTCTCTTGAATAGTAAAGGGGTCAATAAACTTTATTTTTTGTATTCTTCAGCTATTGTCTCCACAATCATTGGCCTATTTATGTCCATACTTGAAGACAATCAACGGTAAAGACTTTATGGACGAACCTAGTGAAGAAACTATTAATTCAGCTCAGTCTGCAAAGAATAATTTATCTACACTAGTATGTGTTGCTGTCTAACGTTTTGCTTTTTTTAAATTCTTTTCAATCCTATTCTATTCAGTTTACACAAATCATAACACTGTGAATATTATCACATGCAATAATGTTATATTTTTTTGCTTTGTTTTCGAGCACTAAACGTGATTAGACTGAGGTATGTTTCTAGTTACCTAAGAAGTAAGCAGTATGTATACGCTTCAGCAGATTCAGGAGCATGCGTACCCTCTATTCGACGGTCTGTGGATTTTTTAGGTCATGAAGTGTATTAGATATATTGATCACGTTGGCACCAAATCTAACAGGCTATATAAGCCATCTTCAAGTCGTATAATACAAATAAATTATCGTACATTTAGTTCCCTTAACCAGTTTGAACAATACAAGAACAAAGACGTTTACAGGATAAAATGAGCTCATGTTATCGGAGTAGAACTTCGGCACTGTGGTAGATTGTAATTTCATTTTAGTCTGTTAATTAGAAATGTCACACATTGAAACAGTATCATTTACTGGATTACATTTTGGACATCGTTTATTATCCGTCTTCATGTCATATGCGCTCATTTTATTTCACAACCTTTCATCTGTTGCAAACAGCTTACAATTGAAATGAAATATGTCGCTTTACTTAGAAGTTTTCAGGAAAAAACATATTAATCAACATATCAAGCTTGTTAAAGAGACGAAACATGAATAGAATTCAGATCTAGAATGACCTGGAACTAGCCAGGTCTTGTATTTTGCTTATATCTTTGACGTTACAGTACACCTTCGTTATTTTACCACCTTTCGCACTTATTGAGAAAACTGAGCGACCATCAACTGGTGAAACATGAAGGTTATTGCACAAGCGTCCACCTACATACATATATATAACTGAGGTTATATCAAGTAGTCCCTACAAGAATATAACTAATGATAACATGGGTTCTAAAAAGTATTAGTAGTAGTAATAATGACATAATATACTTTGAATATTTAGAAATAAATAAAGATTCGAAATCCGGGATTCATAATAAGTTAGTGAGTTAAGGAGAGACAGAGTAAATAATCACAAACCTTAGTTGAAATTGATGACAATTTATGCATGATGAGATAGGAAACTCTGTAGCTGTGGAAAGAGGGGGGTGGGGGGCAAAAAAATAGGAATGTAAACTAAGAGGTTGTTGAAGTACTAGTAGGTTGCGTAATTGCACTGAAAAACGATAAGCTGAGTAATTAACAGTCAATAAGAAACTAATGAAGAAATAATGCAGTCAACAAAGGAAAACTATATGCATATATACACAAAAAATCACATACAGTTAACAGGGTAAGGACGGGTTAATTACATTCTCTTTTTGAGTACAGAGTTCAAGTTGAAAATGTATGGTGGTGAGAGCTTCTGCAAACCGTAAGAAACATGGTGTCATTTGATTGTTGATTCTCCTGAGAAACATCTATTTGATGTCTTGTTTTCATCAGGTGCCTGGCGATTGTGATGGTAAAGACCATGCTACCTTTCAGATACAGATTTCTCTAAATGTGCTCATGAAATCGAGAAGCTGCCATTCTTCCAGTCCTTCTTATGTAATTGCTTCCACAAGCCGAGGCGAGTGGATATACACAGTTGGAAGTGGCATGAGCTAGATATTTGTCTACTTTTGACTGTGTTATTCACCATACTACTTTGCAAACTGAGATCAGTCCGGCAGCAGGGAACCTCCTTTTCAATGCAGCTCCTATCTTTCCTCTCAGATGTCTCATCGCCTTCGAATGCTAGACGAAGGAAAACAGGTTTCTCAACAGCTGGGTGTTTGAGTCCTTCAGTAAACTTTTTTTTATACTTTATGATGAATTTCTTGGGATATCCATTCTCTCATTGGTTTATTTCGTTCTGTTCGCAAAATGTGTCACTTTCATAGATGCAGTAAAGGTGGAAATCTTAAGTACTTTTCATATCTTTTTCCACTCCCAGCATTTGGAAGTCCACAAGTTATGTGATTATATAGAGAAGTCAAATGTGCTAATCATCTCTTGTGAACATTATGTCATGGACACTTTATTAGTTGACTGAATCTGTTTAAACTCGCCAAAAATCTAAATTAAGTTTATTCAGTGTGTACCTTTCATTGTATTCATCCTCGCCTTCTCAGTTCATAGTATATAACAGTCGTATCACTTGTTTATTGTTACTGACCCCCGCCTCATTCATCCGCTGGGTGCTTTTTTTTTAAAGAATTCTATCGATCCATCAAATAAATTGTTCTTACTTATGCACTGGTTTGATCGACCTCATTCAACAGCTATATGACGACGCTACATGCCAAGTGATCCACAATGGAAAGCTCAGTGACGCCTTTGAAGTGAATTGAGTAATACAAGGCTGCAGCCTACTGTCACCCATGATCTCTTCCTGATTGTGATCGATTGGATCATGCAGCAAACTGTGAAGAGCGAGAAGATGGGCATACGCCTGACCGATGGAAAGAGACTAGAAGATTTGGATTGCACCGACGATTTATGTTTAGTGTCACACAAACTCTAAGATCTACAGGCGAAAACTAACAAGTTGACAGAAGAGTCAGTGAAAGAAGACAGGACTTCAAGTGAATATCGAGAAGACGGAGGCGATGAAGATACGCAACCAACAACAGCATCAACAACAAGCACCAATCACCATGATCGGGAGAAACTTAAGGGAAGTAGCCTCCTTCACCTATTTGGGCAGCACTGTTTCAACTACAGTCAGCACAGACGAGGATGTCAAAGCCAGTCAGGATCGGAAACACAGCAAGACAGGCTTTCATGAACCTGAAGTCAGTGTGAAGATCTACTGCACTCAGCATAAAGCGTGAACAACATCCGGATTTTCAACACAAACGTCAAGTCAGTGCTTCAGTATGGCTCAGAGACTTGGCGCGTTACGAAAGGGATTTCCAACAAACTAAAGACATTCATCGACAGCTGCAACCTACGATCGATACTGACACTGAAGATCAGATGGCTCGAAAGAATAAACAACAGGGAACGAACCAACAAAGCAAGAACCTACCACCCAACAAATATGCAGTGGAAGGAAATGGAGATGGATTGGGCATACACTGAGAAGACCGATTGAGGACATCACGCACCACGCTAGATCGTCGAGTGGAATCGGAAGCGGAAACGAGTTGGGCGAGGGTGTCCGAGGCTGACATGGAGGAGATTATGTGAGGAAGAAATGAAGGCTTCCGTGCAGTGGTGGAGCGAGGTTCAAAAGGCTGCAGATAAGAGAGTGGAATGGAGGCGTGCTACTGAGGCCCCCTATGTTCCACTAGGAAGCCAAGGGGAAAATGATAATAATAGTTCTATCTAGATCCATTATTGTGCTAATACTACTAGATATTTAAATTTTGTTTAAAACACTTAACACTAGTAAAACTGTACCTTTTTTGTTTTATTCTAATAGATCTATTCGAAATGGGAAGATGATATTGCTGGATTTTATAAGAAAGGTTTACCTAAACGTGATACTATTTGTGTTTTAGAAACACTTGTTTTGCATGCTGTCAATCGAAGTGTAGAAATAGCCAAACCGTTTACTCACTGTAAAAGTATTTTGGTAAGTTGTACTGCATATAGCACTAAACCTCTATGTATAATTCTTGTCTTAGTGCAGGGTGTTTTTTAAAAATTTTATAATTTATTTTATTTACAGGCTCGACGAATTGCTGAGGACTTCTTGGCTCCAAAGATGTTGGATGATGACTGTGAGGATGAAACTTCTGAAAAATATACACATGCTGAGGTTAGCGAAGATGAAGGGGCTCTCACTGATGATAGTGACTTAGACACAGAGGATGAAGATGATGATGTCGGTTACGATGGAGACAATCAGGTTGAAAATATCCCTGGTGATCATGGAACTGGAGTATTAGAAAAGTCAGATTGTGGTACAACATCAAAAGTTAACGTTGCCGTGCGCAAAAAGGCTAAGAAAGGTGTATCGAATGAAGCCTCTCAGGCATCTGTTGCTGAACGTGAAGCTTTAGCTGCCGCTGCCAATTTAACGTTATTGCCTGATGAACCTCCTAGTCGACTGATTAATGTCGTTGGTCAGGCTTTGCGCCATGGAAAAACTGTTGTGTATGAAGTAATGAGGACTGCTGCAAGACAACCGGATGGTGAGCTGATACCTGTTGGTGGTTTGGGAACTACAGTTAGTTCTGTTACTCCAACTTCTGTTCAACTCATTTCAAATACTGACATGACTTCAAAAAGTCATGACGAAGGTGCGGTTTTTTCTTGGTAGCATTTCCATAAAAGTCTTTCAGATTTATGTTGCAAATTCCTACTGAGTATTTCGCTTCGTACAGATTTGAGGCTGTTGAGTCTAATGTGTTTTTCTTTGCTTTTAGACGAATTTGACGGAAGTGACGCCGAAAATAATCCTCTCCCGGAGCCTACTTCCAAACATTCTTCACAACCAGTTAATCCTACTTCTAAACAGTCTCCCGTTATAACAAAATTACCGACTAAACAGACATCAGGTAGTCGACGACCAGGTTTACTTAATCGTCCTGTAATCACTTCTTCCAAAGATACTCCTAACACTAAAGTCGATCGTCCTGCAGTTATCTGCACTAAACCTCGGGAAAGTAGTTCGAACGGTATTCCTACAATAACTCAACGTCCATTGCGAGCCTCCGATTACATTATCAAACCGTCTACAAGTTCTTCCGGAACTGCCTATATAGTTGCTAATGTGTCTTCTCAATCAAAACCGGCTAATCCAGCAACACCAACTCGACGTGGTCGTCCTCCAGTTGCTCATAGCGTGGCCAAAAAGTAAGTCTCACTTTCCAGTAAAGTCCTACCAAACTAGTTATCGATATGCATACCGGTTTTCCCTTGTAATCGTAGTATAATAAAGAAGGGTAGTTATGCAACTTTTCACCACGCATGTCAAACTAGGTCCTACGATATTGCAATAGTTATCAGAAGTGTATTTGTTGCACATGAGTCTCGATATTTGACTTTTGACCAAGTGTTTAGTCACTGATTCGAATCTCATCAATCCGTCTGATATTTCAGCAACTAGTGTCATCATTACCCGACCGATAGCTGCTACCTTGACGTGGTGGTCGGGCTTGCATATCATATTGACCCAACAAGCTACGTTGATGGAACACGTGTTCCTTCGAGGTCCTACTATACCAGAAAGATCTGTTGGATAGTGGTTAGACGGGAAGCAGTCACCGTTGTGGTGTAAATTACTACACTATGATTGGGGGTGTTTGAGGACGAAGTCGTTCTGCTGCTAGCTGGATGGGGTGTGAGAGCAGTAAGGTGTTTCCCTTGAATGACCAGCAGTGCCATATTGACGCTGCCTTCTCAGTGGAAGGGGGGCGGGGGTTAGAAAAGGTCGGCCCCAAAGATAACACACTCCACCATGCCCCACGGTCTGCCGGGTCGGCAGTGTTGGTTCATTTGTCGTTTTTAGTCTACTGTAAAAGCAGCGCTGAAGACCGTAGCCGACTCGGAAGTAGCGGTTAAAAAGAGGCGTTAGATATCAGCAGCTTCTCCCGAACTAATAGATGCACGTGAACACATCTCTGCATGCTCTGAGTGCAACGAAGAGAGAGCGCAACTTAAAAATAGATTGCGAAAAAGTCTACCCATTGACCTCGAAAGTGATGAACAGTGAAGACCAAAGAGATGGAAAAGACAGTGACGATTGGTAATGGTAGACAATTATTTAGACTTATTAAGGAGACTGGGCGGGGAGGGGGAAGGTCAACTGCGGTTGTTGAGACCATAGCGAAGAAGGACGAATCTGCGATTCAGTCGCAGAGGAGACGACTGAATGAATGGACAGAACACTTCGAAGGAAAGTTTAACTGACCTCCAGCCACCACTGCGTTGCGCAGTATCCAGTCGAATCATGAGTGGTACATTGAGACTACCCTCCCCCCCCACGATTAGCAAAAGTCGAGAAACCGGTAGGTAACCTGAAACGAGTAAGGGCGACAAGACCAGATGGACTAACTCCTGAGGTATGCAAAGGTGGTGGTAGGGTGCTCTTAGTCAGGTTAACGGCAGTGTAAGCTGGTATATGGGAATCAAATACGATCCCCTCTGACTGGTCTAAATCACTGATTATCCTAGCTTTCAAGAAAGGCGAGAAGTCCTCTTGTGATGAACACAGAGGAATCAGCCTGACAAACATAGTGTCCAAGATCCTATGTTCTATAATTCTCCGACGCCTGAGTGGAGCTCGGGAACAGAAAGTCCGAGAAAACCAGGCAGGCTTTGAACCCGGCCGCAGATGTATCGACCAAATATTCAAATTGCCCCAGGCTCTGCTCTGGAACACCGACACGCGTACTGACGCCCGACAATATCTGTATTTCTCTACCTCAAGGCGGTGGCATTCTACTCCGTTGATCGAGAAGTCTTATGGCAATGTCTCCCACTGAAAGGCGTACCGAGTAAGTACATCACCTTATCAAAGACTGTCTACTCGAACACTTGTGGGCGTGTTAGAGCCTATGGTAAGATGTCCAGGGAGGTATGCTCATTGAGTGGTGTCCATCTATGATGTCCACTGTCTCCATTCTTATATAATTTTTCATAGATATTCTTATAGAGATCTTCCTCTCGTCACCTGACTACACAGAGGTTGACCTAATCTCAGGAGAATTTTCGTTAGACGTAGAATATGCAGATGACAAAGTTCAGCTGGGTGGGTGAAGACAGCTGACAAGATACAGAGTCTCCTGAACACTGAGTGGTAATTTGAGAATGTTTGAGATGCATTTCTGACTACCGAAATGCAAATTGTTGCTGCAGGGTTGGTCTTCAACGGTGCCCCACGGTGGCTAAGAGTGTAGGGAGTGAGTGTAGTGGTTGAGTGTGTCGACGATTTCACTTACTTGTGAAGTGAAGTGAAGTGGGATCAGCCTTGGTGCACTGACCGATCAGTGGCCGATGAAGTCTCTGCACGAAAGGAAAAGGTTCGACTGGTTGGGTTTCGCCAACTTACTCCACCTGTGGGACAACTGTGATATGCGATTGTCTATTAAGGGTTTCATGTACTGGACAACAGTGTGGTCTGTTCTACTGTATGGCTGTGGAACATGTCCATTGAAGGTGTAAGATATAAGAAGGCTTCAAGTGTTTGACCAGCGTTGCCTTTGAAGTACAGACCGTATTGTATGGTGTCACCAGGTGAGTGAATAACGTGGCAGTCAAGTGTAGAGTTTTAGGGATAAGAGGTAAGTCAGTCAGTTGATGTGGTTGTGAACCTTCATCGACTGAGATTGTTGAGTTGGACATGTGTTAGGTATGCCTAGTCACAGAATGTTAGGCTGGAAGAAGGCCCGAGGTGGCCAGACTAGAACGTGGCACCAATGTATGAAGTGTTTGACTTTTAGTTTGAGCCATGTGGGGCTACGTAGACTAGCCTGTGTTGGGTGTGGGTGTGGGTGTGGGCGAAGAGGAACGAGTGATTGGAGACTGACTGTATTTGATCATATGGTTGAGAATGGATGTTGGTGGCGCAGATGTATGCACATACACACACACGCACACATTTCCCTCATCTTAACGACGCTATACCGAGTCTCACCATTTTTTCATTCTTCCTTTCTTTCTTTTCTTATTTTATATTTGTTTTGAGTGAATTTTCTTATCTTTATCTTCGGGTTGACTGCCCTTTTACTTGATGTGGTGATATGAGGTGTGGTAAATTGGACGGTTACTCAGTAATGCCTGATTGTATGTTGTTGGATGGTGATGATGAGTGCTACCGTTAAGTCTTACGCAACATATTTTTCTCAGAAATCAGTTATCATTGTTACTTTTTGCGAATTGGTTTCACTTGGATCAGCTTACCGGTTGCACTCTTTCTTTTGATACTTATCCTTTTAGAGCTGCTGCAGCAGAAGCAGAAGCTGCTGAGACCACTAAACTGATAAAGAGTGTGACTATTCCACCACCTCATTCTCCTCCTCCGCCAACGATGCGTATGTCTACTCGTGATTCTAACAGACATAAGCGGTTTAGTGCATACGGTGTCATCGATACTGCTGCAGCTTTGGCTGGTAAAGAGGAAGCTCTCCTAGCTGTTGCCTTAGCTCAAGAAGATGAAGAAGACATTGAAAAACCAGAAGCGCTTCTAAAAGATTCATCTGTCGTTCTCTCTGAAGGTGACACTGCAGCTGCAGAGGCTGCTGCTGCACTGGCAATGGAAGCTGAAATGAAAGAAAATGAAAATATTTCAAAACCAGATGTTGTTAAATCGAAACCTGTTGTTACTTCTGATACACCTGTAGATACACCAGTCATAGAACCGACTGTCACTTCTAAAGACAATGATGAAGCTACGAAGAAAAGACGACGGCGTCCACCTGGATCTCAGACTCCTCGTATTCAATCTGAAACCTCAATAACTGATATTAAACCAGCAGAACCAGTTCCTAATCAACCAAATACCCGTAAACGGTCTGCAGTTTCTCCAAAACCTCAAGATCCTGAGAAGAAAGCTTTAATAACTCCCCCACCGGAGACTAAAAAATCTCTTCCTATTACTACATCAGTTCGTGATAATAGACGAAGCCTCAGTCAACTTGGAGAAGTATGTTTTACTTTTCTGTACCCAGAAATATGTTTTCGTTTTAATACTTCTGCTGTTCATTTGCTGTTTAGGAAAAGTAAATCACATTTATTGAATGAACAAAATAGTTCAAGGTTACTTTGATGATACGATTTATGATATATGTTGATCATCATCTTCATGTTATATTTCCCTCTTTACTTATGTTAGTTTCACTAATTCTTGACTATTAGTGAAAACTAGTTGTCTTTTTCTAATCAAGTTAAGTATGAGTAAAATTTACGGTTGCAAATTGAATTTGCATATCAAAAATAGGGTAGAGAAAACTTTGAATTCAATAATTTAAATTTCTTTTTTCAATCACTTGATACCTTATGAATGAAACTTGCAAGTGTGTAGTAAATGCAATGCTTAGAAATTCATTTGATCTCGATCAACAATAGTTTTTTTGTAATAGGTGATTACATTAAAGGTTCTGCTGAATGAAGATCGCCTGAGTTGTTTCATCACAGCTGTTAATGAACTGATTCTCCACATGCCCTTCTATTATCTGATAGATACATTAGTTAGCTTATTTTGTTGGACTGTTACTTGGCAATCTAAATTATAGAGTGCCTTTTCAGTATTTGATTACATTGAAAGTCTATAAGTACTTCGAATTTTTGTCGACTATAATTACTCTAGTTCGTAATTTGTCGTGTTATACAATCTAATTATCCCACTAGGTTGTTTTATATTCTTGTACTAAGTCTAAGTTCTTACTGTATTGATGATTTGATTATCGTTTGCTTCAATGTCTATTTCATATTAAGTTATATATGTATGTATGTTGTTTCTTTCTTGTACAGATTGTTGACTATGATCCTTTGCATTTTATTCGATGTCACGCACAAGACAATGATCCGTTAGACTGTGAAACTAAAGTTTGGCGATGTGCGTTTGAACCAAGTATCAATGATCCACACAATGAAACATCCACGATTGTGGCTACATGTGGAGGGGAATGTGTTTGCTTGATTGATTGCAAGACAGGTCGTGTGATGAAACGATTCAAACATTTTGGCGAAGTAAGTATATATATATATATATATATGTATATATTTCTTTTGTGCATTTGGTAGTGTTCAGCAAAACCGTTTCTCCTCCATGTCACTTCTGGTCTTCTTACTCTCAAACAAATCTTGATATGGATGTACAGATGTCGGTTATTACTTGATGAACGAAATAATTAAGCTTCAGAAGAATTTAGCTGTTTTTAGAAATATCGAACTCAATTAATTCTTACCATAATTAGGAAAACAACGGGTTATTCGACCTCTACAAGTACCTTCAGTTTAATGATAGGGAATAAAGTTGTGGAATAGAAAGTTGCATCAACTCGAACGCGTTGGTTGCTCATGAAATCTCAGCTTGGATACAGAAAGTCTGTTTGGCATATACCGAGTTGCGTTATCCGCGGCGCCGACTGGCGAGATATCCGTCTATGTATCAAATGATGAGTATACTGCGCTGCAATCCGTCCTATAGTGTTATACGGCTGTGAGACATGGCAGTTGAATGTAGAAGACTTGGAACAATTGCAGGGTTTTGATCACAGGTGTATTTGTAGCGTTGCTCACATTTCATGGAATCATCGTGTGAGCAATCTTGAGATCAGGCGAAGGGTACTAGGCAAGAAAGGCTAGTCGATTGATAGGGTTGTGAACCTTAGTCGGCGGAGGTGGCTTGGGCCCGGCCCAAGTGTTTTAGTTACATAGTAATGATGGATAGTGGCTAGCAATGGAACTCAGGATGTGCATTTCGTCCTACTTGGGACTCGTCAGCTGGATGTACCTACTTCCAAGACAGTATCGAGGCCTCCACGCAGTAGCCCATATACCAATAGAGACTGATCAGTTCGGTCTAATCAATGATGGTATAATACAAGCAATAACAGTAAGGCGACATAGTTAAGTAAAAAGAGAGGGAAACTTTACAGGTGCTTTCACTTCTCCTCCTACATCACCTATCCGGCTTTGTTGTTGTTCTCAATCCAGTTGCCTGCCTGTTTTGTGGTTCTAAATCTGAAGTGCAGTAGGATGCGTTGACTATTTGACGCGCTTGATAAGTTATATTAGCCCGAATGTACTGCTTACTGAGAATATTTTAGCTGGGATTTGGCATTTGCCAGCTGACATACGACTTATTGCGGCGATGAAATATCCGTTTATCTCTTATTTGACGAGTATACTGCGCTAAAATCCACTCTGTGCTATTATGCAGCTGAAAAATAGCCGCGAAAAGTGTGTTGGGAAGTTAGTGGTTTTTGATAACATGTACCTTCGTAGCGTCCCTTGTGTCGGATAGAAAATCTGTTTGAACGATGTTGCTTTTAGGCATCCTGAAACACCGCGTACCTCCACGTGTAATGTTAAGCAAAGTAGGATTGAGTTGATATAAGATTGCGGGTGACCAGATTAAGACATGGCACCAATCTGTTCATGTGAGCTATGTAGGAGAGTGTAGGTTGAAGTGGATAGTAATCAATAGTTGGAAACCCTTGGTGATATGGCAGAAGATGGGACAAAGTAGCACAGATGTATCTACTCTTTGACATCTTCAGAGAGTTAAACGTTTTCACTAGCCTTCATTTTTTAAATCTTATTTTCTCTTCCCCTATATACTTTTGTCTACTGTAATATCAACTTTTTTCAATCCACTTGTTGTTCACGTGTTGCTACGAAGAGTGGCAATTTAAGGTGATGCATTCTATACTAGGTTCTTTCATGATTTGTCTGCTCGTCTGGTTCTATCTTTTCTTTTGTGAACTTCTAGTATTTTTCTGGGTGCCCGAGAAATACACCAGTTTGGCAAGAAATATTTGTCACGTTTAAAATATTTCATTTCCACTTCCGGACTTACATGTGCTAAGAAGGAAGGATGAGTTATACGTTACGCATAGTGCCTTTTGTAATTCCTGTATTTGTTCAATTTGTAAGACAATGTATATGTGTTAGTTGGTTGGAGGCAATCAGCCGGAAACCTTGGACCTAGGCTTCGTCCTTTTGGCACTCATCAGTAAGGCGTGTCTGCAACCTCGACGGAACTGATGTCCCGCCTAGACAATATCAAAATTTGTTTCACTCCCGTGATCAATCAATATATGTAGGCCAGTCCTACAGGAGGTCAACCGCGGCCCGAATTGCTCAGTGGTAAAGACGCTGACTACAACACTAGTTAACGCGGGTTCGAATCTCAGGCGAGACATCAGTTCCGTCGAGGTTGCAGATACGCCTTGCTAACAAGTGCCAAAAACCACGAAACCTAGGTTTAGGGCTTCCTGACGATTGCCTCCAATTAACTAAAATCTACTAATTTGCATGGCGTTGCTGAGCTTCCTAGCTTGGTTGCAACATTGCAAATATGATCGGTAGGATTCTATCTGCACTCAGTACTAGACAACATGAAATTGCTTGCACTCCCGTGACCAATCAATACAATGTATATATACATGCATATATATTTATGTTCACTGTATCTTCTACTCATGCAAAGTGTGAATGCTTTGCAGCATCATCTTTTTATAATTCTGTGATATAAACTATTGTATAAATTGTTTTCATTCGACTAGGAATTTTACACATTAGCTTGGACAACCGTTGAAATGGCTGCTGGTCATAGGACAAATTTGTTAGCTGCTGCTGGTAAACTACGCGAGATTCGATTATTGCATCCAGAACAATTAGTATGTTATGCTGAGATGCGAGGTCACAAAGATGATGTTGCCTGCATGATATTTCATCCAGATAAGCCGACCATTTTATTCTCTGGTGATTCCAAGGTAATTACTTTTGATTTGCCTCATCTGTATCATTCTTTATTGATTCAATGTATTAACTTTGATGTTGAAATTGTGATTCTACCTCGCATATACTTTTTTAGATGCTTTAACTCAACTGATGATTCATTTGTTTTAGTGTGTTTTATTTGCACCATCAAGCTTTCGGTGTACATTCTCGTCAGTGCATCTCAAAGAAGATCATGTACCGACAACGGTTATTTTGCTCTTAAGTAGAAGTAAACCGTCAGTATCAGACTATGGATATGTTATGTCTGTAAGACAAACATACGGCACCCAAGTGCAGTTGTCCACTGAAAATCACTTGATTGATAAGTCTGGTTAATCTGCCATATTTACTATATGAGTTCCTACATATTCGATCAATAGTTCTCTCGGTCATACAAGTGTAGGTACAGCAGTAGTTAGTCCTGATGTGAAATGTGTTCCAGAACACTGCGGCAGGTTCTGGAACATAGACTTGCTTACCGACTCCCGACATTATCTGTATTTCTCTACCTCAAGGCGGTGGCATTCTACTCCGTTGATCGAGAAGTCTTATGGCAATGTCTCCCACTGAAAGGCGTACCGAGTAAGTACATCACCTTATTAAAGACTGTCTACTCGAACACTTGTGGGCGTGTTAGAGCCTATGGTAAGATGTCCAGGGAGGTATGCTCATTGAGTGGTGTCCATCAATGATGTCCACTGTCTCCATTCTTATATAATTTTTCATAGATATTCTTATAGAGATCTTCCTCTCGTCACCTGACTACACAGAGGTTGACCTAATCTCAGGAGAATTTTCGTTAGACGTAGAATATGCAGATGACAAAGTTCAGCTGGGTGGGTGAAGACAGCTGTCAAGATACAGAGTCTCCTGAACACTTTGAGTGGTAATTTGAGAATGTTTGAGATGCATTTCTGACCACCAAAATGCAAATTGTTGCTGTAGGGTTGGTCTTCAACGGTGCCCCACGGTGGCTAAGAGTAGAGAGTGAGTGTAATGGTTGAGTGTGTCGACGATTTCACTTACTTGTGAAGTGAAGTGAAGTGGGATCAGCCTTGGTGCACTGACCGATCAGTGGCCGACGAAGTCTCTGCACGAAAAGAAAAGGTTCGACTGGTTGGGTTTCGCCAACTTACTCCACCTGTGGGACAACTGTGATATGCGATTGTCTATTAAGGGTTTCATGTACTGGACAACAGTGTGGTCTGTTCTACTGTATGGCTGTGGAACATGTCCATTGAAGGTGTAAGATATAAGAAGGCTTCAAGTGTTTGACCAGCGTTGCCTTTGAAGTACAGACCGTATTGTATGGTGTCACCAGGTGAGTGAATAACGTGGCAGTCAAGTGTAGAGTTTTAGGGATAAGAGGTAAGTCAGTCAGTTGATGTGGTTGTGAACCTTCATCGACTGAGATTGTTGAGTTGGACATGTGTTAGGTATGCCTAGTTACAGAATGTTAGGCTGGAAGAAGGCCTGAGGTGGCCAGACTAGAACGTGGCACCAATGTATGAAGTGTTTGACTTTTAGTTTGAGGCATATGGGGCTATGTAGACTAGCCTGTGTTGGGTGTGGGTGTGGGTGTGGGAGAAGAGGAACGAGTGGTTGGAGACTGACTGTATGTGATCATATGGTTGAGAATGGATGTTGGTGGCGCAGATGCATGCACATACACACACATTTCCCTAATCTTAACGACGCTATACCGAGTCTCACCATTTTTTCATCCTTCCTTTCTCTCTTTTGGTACTTTATATATGTTTTGAGTGAATTTTCTTATCTTTATCTTCGGGTTGACTGCCTTTTTACTTGATGTGGTGATATGAGGTGTGGTAAATTGGACGGTTACTCAGTAATGCCTGATTGTATGTTGATGGATGGTGATGATGATGAGGTGAGATGTGGTCTACTCTACTGGGTACCACATATACAGTCCTCTGTGCGCATTTCTATTGGATATTTCAGTGATGTGTGTGAAACTTGACGGTCTCCTCATAATCTGTTTTGTATCAACCTACTGACTGCAGTTCGAAAGAAGTGAAAGATAAGTCTAACCAGAAACTGTCTAGCTTCTTGCTGAGAGCTAAGCTTTCATATATGTTTGCCGTAGCAGCTGATTTTAATGCCTGAGTGGGTAGGCTAAGTCAGACAGAAAGGTACCTAGGTAGCACTTTCAGAATCTCAGCCGAACGAACGAATAACAATCACCTGCTACGACTGTGCTCAAACAATCATTTTCGAACTTCAGAGAGACATTGTCCGGCATGGTATTCACCAACTTTAATTCAAACGGTGGATATAGACGGACCATTGTGGTATCAGTTGTCTCTGGAGAGGGTTGGTGGAAGGTTGGGTTTTTCTCTGATGTACCAGTTTAAATAGTGATTAGGTGTTTGTTCGAACACTCGTCTATGTGTGCATAAATGAGCATTAAAACGTTATTACCACAAAATCATTTGGATCGCAGCTCGATGATGAAGATGCTAAACCTGATTTCAACAAGAAACTGGCTAGACAGTTGTTGGGACAGGACTGAGTCATTCTAGCACCATCTTTAATGTTCTGTAAAAGCAGTGCTAAAGCGGTAACTGACCCTCAGAAAAAGGTTGAAAGAGTAAGTGAATTCCAGCAGCCTCTTCTAAATTAGCGGGTGCGCGTGATTGCATCCCTGCAAACTCTCGAGTGAAGGCAACTCAAACATAGTGACGAAAAGTCTAAAGAATAACCTTGAGCAATAGTGGGTAACAGAGGCTAAATGATATGGCTGTGGCCACAAGTAACAGTAGACAATTATTTGTACTGGTCGACGAAACTGGGGTAGATAGATCTAAGATTTACTCACATCGGAGACGATTGGAATTGTAGATTGTAATCGGCTGGGGTTCGGCAATTAGAAGTTACTGTAGAGTTGTCCAGCAACTGCTTAAATGACTTAATTTTCCAGCCTAAATAAAGAAATGGAGTTGGTCATTTCAGTAATTGCTAAGATGACCTTTAGAATCACTTGGCTATCAGCCTGAGTCATTCTTGATGTTCGGTTTGGCTATTACAAAGCTATATGTTTTCTTTTTAAGGGATCTTCCCAATCGTTGTTAATATTTTGCATCAGAGAAGTCTTTGTTGAATGTCTAATGCCAAGGCGGTATAGCTGAATTCTGCAGTGGTTGCAACCAAACCAATCTTATTTTGAGCATAAATAAACTAGTCACAACCACCTACTAAAGAAATAACCTAGTCATGCCTCGAGTCGTCGGTTACCGTTAATCCGACCAGCTCGTGATTGTAACATTAAGATAGGGCCTTTAACTTCCACAGAAGTCGAGATTGTAAGTTACCTGAAACAGGAAATATTATCGGACTCTGATTAGCTTACACTAGTGTTCTTTAAGGATTGTGTTAGCCAATCAATGTGGGAATCACGTGTGATCTCTACTGACTTTATGTCAATCACTGATTTTGTGGTCTTTAATATAGGAAAAGAATCCCCCTCCAATCACTACAAGGTAATTAGTCTGACGAACACTACTCACATTAACGTCGAAGAGTCCATACATGTGTCATTTACTCACGTGAAATCAGGTACAAAGGTTAGTCCTCACATCATTGCTTCATTTCAAACGATTTCTTATTTCCAACATCTTTTTGGCAGTGTTTCCTGATATTCATCTCTATACTAGTAGAATATAATGACTGTTCATCTTTATCGTTTCCAAATCTTACTCTTATGGTGTTTATTGTTTTAATCTTCGCTTATTTGTAAGTATTTCAAACTGTAATTATAGAATGGTCTTCGTCATGTATTTATTATTATAATTTTCTCTTAGGTTCCTAGTGGAACATGGGGCTTCAGTCACAGGTCTTCATTGCACTCTGTTCTCTGCAGTTTTTTGAACATCACTCCACCACTGCCTACAAGCTTTCATTTCTTCCTCACATAATCTCCTCCATGTCACCCTCACCTCGGACGCTCAACTCACCATTTCCCACCTGGGTTTCACTCGAGTACCTGGTGCGTGATGTCCTCGAACGGTCTTCTCGGTGTATGCCCAATCCATCTCCACTTCCTTTTGCATATTTGTTGAGTGATAGGTTTTTGGTTGGTTCGTTGTCAGGTCACAGTTTATTATTATTTGTCCCTTGGGTTCCTAATGAAACATAGGGCTTCAGTAGCACGTCTCCAATGCGCTCTGTTCTCTGAAATCTTTTAAACCTGGCTCCACAACAGCCCACAAACTCTCATTTCCTCCTCGTACGATCTCCTCCATGTCACCCTCACCTCGGGCAACCAACTCGTCGCTTCCCATCGGGGTCCCACTCGAGGGCCTGACGCGTGATGTCCCCAGTCGGCCTTCTCAGTGTATGCCCAATCCATCTCCACTTCCTTCCACTACATATTTGTTGAGTGATAGGTTCTTGGTTGGTTCGTTCCCAGAGTTCCTTGCTGCTTATTCTTTCTAGCCATCTGATATTCAGTATCGAGTGAGTGTAAACGTCAGCTTTTGATGAATGTCTTTAGTTTGTTGGAAGTTTTTTTCATGACGGGCCAAGTTTCTCAAACATATAGCAGCATTGACTTGACTGATGTTGGTGTTGAAAATCCTGATGTTGTTCACGCTTTATGCTGAGTGCAGTAGATCTTCACACTGGTTTCAGGTTAATGAAGGCCTGTCTTGCTGTGTTTCCGATCCTGACTAGCTTTGACGTCCTCGTCTGTGCTGCCGCCTGTAGTTGAAACAGTGCTTCCTAGATAGATGAAAAAGGCTACTGTCCTTAAGTTTCTCCCGTTCATGGTGATTGGAGTTTGTTGTTGTTGTTAATGTTGTTGGTTGGGTATCTTCATCACCTCCGTCTTCTCTACATTCACTTGAGTGTACTCGATGTTTTCGTTCACACTTTTTCATTTGTTGGATTATTTATTTACAATAGATTATTATTTAACAGTGGGAAGCATAGAAACGTTTGGCGTGTTTATCAACAACACAGTGAGTGATGTAATCAGTTAAGATAACATGACCTAGATACATTATTTTCAAGGCTATCAGTGTTTTTCCTATGATTATATTCGATATCTAACTACAAGTATTACTGAATTTAACTTATCTTTTAACCTTTATCTCTCTCAAAAAAAAATTATCAGGCTTGTATTTTAGTCTGGGATATTGGCATCCCCTCTGCACCCGAGTATAAAACTCGTCATCAGTTGTTAATGCGTTTAATTTGTCCAAGAGCAAATTTGAATCCTGTTTTAAATCTTGTTTTTCTGACGAAATATGATGCCTTAATAGCAGGATGTGAAGATGGAATATTCTCTTGGACACTAAAAGATTTTCGAAAAGAGAAACTCAGTGAAGAGAAGTAAGTAGATTTTCTAGAGTGATATTCTTTTTGTTTTTCTTGAATTTTTTTTTTCAACTTGTCAACTTTCTCAGTAACATGAATATTAAAAACAAGACTATGTACTCTTTAGATGTAAATTTTTTATTAACTAACTTGCTGTTGTTTTATGTCTACATATCTTCTAGAAACTTCTCATTGCCTATTACTTCAACTTTTTTCAGGGAACTATTATTGCTACCTACTGAAAAAGTTCATTTGACATTGAAGGTGAACGTTTTTGACAAGTTGACGATGTATTAGTAGTCCCTTGGGACTATTACTGATATTTAAGTGTCATATATCAAAAATCTAGCTGGTCATCTTATCTCTAAAGTTCTTCTCCACAAGATATATGTCGATGACATGAGAGTGCTTTGTGAAAGGGATGAAGATATGGTTTATCTACTAAAAAGACATAACACTGTACAAAATCATACCAGCCTGACATTGTGGGAAGGAGAATAATCATCATCTGCCACTTTTAGACGTACTCCTGAGTCGACGAGAAGATGGTTAGTTTGCAGAAAGCTTACATGGACAGGAAAATACCTGAATTCGCACAGATCTTATCCAATCCAATACAAGCGAGCTCTAATTAAATGCCTGTTTGATAGAATCTATCGTATGTGTACATCAGATATGATGGATGAAAATGTCAAATTACTGACCGAAACACTTATGGAAAATGGATATCAGTTGAAGTTTATACACGATTGTAGAAGTCAGCTAGCACCGAAGCCAACTCTACACACGGTTTCTAAAAAAGGCGTCCATATCACTCTACCATACAGAGAAGGGCGTTGAATAGTATAATTTTGAAAAAGACTCATTATGCATCTAAGCTTATTATTGTGGAAAAAAGGAAACATGCTGCACCATAAACCGAAACATCGCACAAATGATTACATCACATCCCATTGTGCTTATCAATTTTACATATGTGTGTGTGTGGTCACACAGGTAAGAGTAATCGAGCCTTGCAGTTGATTTAGGGTAGAAGCGCATTTACCCAAGTGACTTCATAATCAGATGTAGTGGGAGACAACCGTATTTATCTATAGATAAACATATTATTATAGAAACGAGTCAAAGTTTTATATAGTAACAGGAAGGCATGCTGAGATTTGCCGAAGCGATAGCCATACGCAAATTGAAACTGCCTTTATGTGTATAAAAACAATCTGTTTTTACACTATACCTACCCCTTGGTAAACTTTGTTTTCATACCAAGAATAAGAACAACTATGTCACTCAAATTTCTAATTTTAATCCCCTATTATTTCAATTGTGTTCTATTTGTCCTCGCATCCTTCGGTTTAATATAAATAGACTTCAGATAAGTAAAATGTGTGATTAGGTTGTAGGAAATGTATATTGCTATCGCTCAAATACATCATATGTTGTTCAGATAGACTTCATCTTCAAATTACGAACCAACCAAAAACCTATCACTCAACAAATATGCAGTGGAAGGAAGTGGAGATGGATTGGGCATACACTGAGAAGACCACTTGGGGATATCGCGCGCCAGCCCAGGCACTCGAGTGAAACCCAGATGGGAAACGGTGAGTTGAGCGTCCGAGGTGAGGGTTACATGGAGGAGGTCGTAAGAGGAGGAAATGAGAGGTTGTGGGCAGTCGTGGAGCCAGTTTGAAAAGATTGCAGAGAAGTGCAGAGTGGAATGGAGACGTGCTACTGAAGCCCTATGTTCCACTAGGAACCCAAGGGACAAATAATAATAATATAAATTCTTTTCGGTAAAAAATCCTTGGAGTCAGTAGTATAGTATTACGGATTACACGGTTAGTGGTATTTCTTGAATTGCTATCTGTTCTCAATTGATATTCAACAGCTAACCAAAGAAAATACTAAGACCAGAATGTCAATGGTCAAAAAATGCTAACGTCTCACGAAATAGTACCGTTCTATCAAATCAGCATTATAATTAATACTGAAGAAACGTCAGATTTTCTGATATACAAATATATATCACCTGTTCTTAGAACATGAAATTTCCTAGTCAGAGAGGAGTAATTGAGTAAAGATAAAAGGTAGCTAAAGATAACAATAAGAAAGACAGTTAACTACTTATCTTAATCACTAAGCGATAAAGAGAAACTGTGTCGAACTAATGAAGATGGGACCATAACTCATGAATGGAAATTTTAAATGACTTTTGTTCAACGCGCAGCGTCTAGAATATGATAATATTACAGTTCATAAGTGTAGTAATAGGATTTGGATCCCTAGTGGAAATACAAAGGTAGTTTCCCTGTGACTCAACCAACGAATCACAGGTTTGAATCCCGCCCCTCTTGTTGAGTTCTGATCAGTCAGGTAGTGGTTAAGGATTCTTGGTGACATGGTTGAAAATTGGTCACAATTGAGCAGATGTATTCACTCCTTGACATTTTCTAAACCATTAAACTTTATTTTCAAATTGTTTATTGTGTCATTCAACTTGGTCTTCTTTGATATCAAGTCCTTTTCTATCCACCTGTTCCTTTGTATAGTGTGCAGTGTGGCAACTTGAACTGATCCACGTATGGGCGAGAATCTACAATGGTTTTGTCCATCTATCTGTATACAACAGCTGTGGCTTATTGCTTACTGCACAAATTAAATGTGTACATAATTGCTTAGTTGGATTATTGCCAACACGCCAAGACTATCAAATAGCCTACAGACTCTGCAATCCGTGTTGATAATCCGTTTAATAAGACTTTGACTAATACAATTTCTTCTGCTTTTCTTGTTATCTTTATTGCACCTCGAACTGGCTCCAGCTGAATTCGCAATTTGCCGCTTTAGTGCAAGTATCAAAACAACATCCATCTCGTGAATGCTTCAAGCTGTAACTCATTGGTTTATGCACTTAATTTCCAACCAATGCGTCACAGGTTTGAACGCAACTTCACCTACCGAAGTTTGAGCAGTCAGGTAAGATCATTACCTCTCACACAATAGGTATGGCTCATTATCTACTGTGGAAACGTGCTTATGGCTGCTGAGTGCTTCAACTTCTGTTCATAACACATCAGCCGTTACACGTGGATAGCTGGTGGTGGGCGATAATATCATCACGAGAAAGCCATAAGGTTAAATTTCTATAATTATCAAAAATATGCTGTTGAAATACAGGACCGATCAATTTGGTCCACTCAACGACGGCATAATACAAGCAATAACACTAAAATTGTGTCTGTCGCATAAGAAGTGGCTATCATGACTCAGTGGTCTAGTGGATGACGCTTTGGCGTTTGAAGTGACCGGTCCTGAGTTCGAGTCCCGGTGGGAATAACATTGCTCACTGGGAGAATAGGTACATCCAGCTGACGAGTCCTAAATGGGGGCGAGGCGCGCTTTCCAGATTCCATTTCTACCCACTATCCACCATTGATAAGAATTACTATTAGCATTTAGTTCAGTTTCAGATGTTCTACTATTTCTACATATAAACGTGGTTTTGAATGTAGTTTTATTTGTACTTCACTTTCACTTCATCATATTTTATTCTTACTATTGATTATATTCAGGGAGGCAGAATTGGAATTAAAGATTCCCACACGTCGTGAACCTTGCTTTGATGGATTAGCTCAATTATCTGATGATCTGATTGTGACAAAATGTGTTGAGGAGGGTGAAATTTATATTTTTAACTATGGTCAGGTAAGTTTGTTATGCTTTCAATAGACTGCTTCTTTTATTATTGTTACCACCGTCCTTTATCTGCTTAGTTTAAATTTCTTATTATTTTTTGATGTTCTAGGTTATCAATCGTCGTAGACGTAGTACTACTGTTGGGTCTAATAAGAAGGTGGTCAATGTTGAAATTCGTGGCCAACTACGTTGGCAAACTACAGAGGAAATCTATATAAATGTTACTGCTAGACCTATTCTACATACAGTAATCTGTGGAGATAATGAGGGCACAATTTGGTTATATGATCTACAAAAGCAAGTAGTTGATGAGTCTGAAAATCGAAAATTTAAAGCAAAGCCTGTAAAAGTAAGTCGTTGAGAGGGTTTTTTTGCTTGAGACTGAACCCTATGCACATTCTCTGTTTATCTTGTGCTTATCTCATTCTTAAGTATTCATTTCTTTTCACACCACTTAATGCGTTAAAGTCTTGTCAATTCTTTATGTAAATCTTCCCGCTTATAAAACTTATTATATTTTATTTATTTATTTGTCCCTTGGGTTCCTAGTGGAACATAGCGCTTCAGTAGCACGTCTCCATTCCACTCTGCACTTCTCTGAAGTCTTTTCAACCTGGCTCCACGACAGCCCACAACCTCTCATTTCCTCCTCACACGATCTCTTCTATGTCACTCTCGGACGCCCAACTCGTCGTGTCCCATCTGGGTTCCACTCAACGACTTTGCTTGGCGCATGATGTCCCCAGTCAGCCTTCTCAGTGTATGTATGCTTCTTGGTTGGTTCGTTGTCATGTCACAGCTCCTTGATGCTTATTCTTTCTGGCCATCTGATATTCAGTATCGAGTGAGCGTAAACGTCAGCTGTTGATGAATGTCTTTAGTTTGTTGGAAATGCTTTTCGTGAGGCACCAAGTCTGTGAACCATCACATAGAAGCACTGACTTGACTGGATTGGTGTTTAAAATCTGGATGTTGTTGTTGACGCTTTATGCTGAGTGCAGTAGATCTTCACACTGGTTTCAAATTCATGAAAGCCTATCTTGCTGTGTTTCCGATCGTGACTGGCTTTGACATCCTCTTTTGTGCTGCCGCCTGTAGTCGAAACGATGCTGCCTAGATAGATGAAAGAGACTACTTCCTTTAAGTTTCTCCCGTTGATGGTGATTGGAGCTTGTTAGTGGTGATGGCGTGCTTAGAAAGCTTATTCAAGGAATATTCCAATCAAATTCCTTTGAAGTATTGATTGACACATTTAGCTTGTAGAAATGCAATAAAGTGGAACATTTCTCTGTTTACTCCCACACACTTTGGTCTGCTTTAATATCAGCTTTTTTCAATTCACTTATTGTTTGTATGCTGCTGTCGGGATAGTATAAATTACTATCACATAAGAAGTGTTACTCTTTGGCCGAAGTAGGTTCAGTCTGAAAAAGGCATGCAGCGGCCAGACTAAAACAGTGTATAAAGTCTCTGACTGTTGGTTTTAGCCATATAGGGCGATGTAGACTAGCCGATTGTGGTCCGTGGGACAAGAGGAATCACGTTTTGGAAACTAGGTGGTTACATGGCTGAGGACCGATGTCAGTGGTGCAGATGTACACACACACATCATCATCATCATTAGCAACAGTTGTAGGGTGAGAAACTGAGGCATAATATTTGGTATCGGGATGTGGGATAAGAGACGAAGATAAGAAAGGTTATGATTAGATGGGTTTTGTATGTTCTGAGATAAGCATACGAGCGTTTGGTACTTTTTCGGTTGTCCTCACTGTGAAATTTTTTTTCCAAGGTGTCTGATCTCAGGACACATCTGCTTAGGGTCGGTCGGTCACCGTTTCTTTAAAGTTTAATGTTCAACTTTTTTTGTTTTAAATCCAGCTAGTAAACCCACACTGCTGAAACGGCAAGACATAGGGACAAGTGGGAGTGTGATATATGTGAAATCGGTTTCTTTTTCCCTCTCCCTTCCCATTGGTCTAATAGTACCTCAAAAAGCGAACATACCCGCCAACATAGCTCATAGGCTCATTGTTATGTGAAAGCCCAACTATCACACCGAAGTAGTATCTGATGATCCGCAAAGATAGTAGAAGCACCAAACCACTGTTTCCTTCTCAGTACCCACTATCTATATCTATCTATATCTATCTATATCTATCTATATCTATCTATCTATCTATATCTATCTATCTATCTATCTATCTATCTATCTATCTATCTATCTATCTATCTATCTATCTATCTATCTATCTATCTATCTATCTATCTATCTATCTATCTATCTATCTATCTATCTATCTATCTATCTATCTATCTATCTATCTATCTATCTATCTATCTATCTATCTATCTATCTATCTATCTATCTATCTATCTATCTATCTATCTATCTATCTATCTATCTATCTATCTATCTATCTATCTATCTATCTATCTATCTATCTATCTATCTATCTATCTATCTATCTATCTATTATCTATCTATCTATCTATCTATCTATCTATCTATCTATTATCTATCTATCTATCTATTATCTATCTATCTATTATCTATCTATCTATCTATTATCTATCTATCTATCTATCTATCTATCTATCTATCTATCTATCTATCTATCTATCTATCTATCTATCTATCTATTATCTATCTATCTATCTATCTATCTATCTATCTATCTATCTATCTATCTATCTATCTATCTATCTATCTATCTATCTATCTATCTATCTATCTATCTATCTATCTATCTATCTATCTATCTATCTATCTATCTATCTATCTATCTATCTATTATCTATCTATCTATCTATCTATCTATCTATCTATCTATCTATCTATCTATCTATCTATCTATCTATCTATCTATCTATTATCTATCTATCTATCTATCTATCTATCTATCTATCTATCTATCTATCTATCTATCTATCTATCTATCTATCTATCTATCTATCTATCTATCTATCTATCTATCTATCTATCTATCTATCTATCTATCTATTATCTATCTATCTATCTATCTATCTATTATCTATCTATCTATCTATCTATCTATCTATCTATCTATCTATCTATCTATCTATCTATCTATCTATCTATCTATCTATCTATCTATCTATCTATCTATCTATCTATCTATCTATCTATCTATCTATCTATCTATCTATCTATCTATCTATCTATCTATTATCTATCTATCTATCTATCTATCTATCTATCTATCTATCTATCTATCTATCTATCTATTATCTATCTATCTATCTATCTATCTATCTATCTATATCTATCTATCTATCTATCTATATCTATCTATCTATCTATCTATCTATCTATCTATCTATCTATCTATCTATCTATCTATCTATCTATCTATCTATCTATCTATCTATCTATCTATTATCTATCTATCTATCTATCTATCTATCTATCTATCTATTATCTATCTATCTATCTATCTATCTATCTATCTATCTATCTATCTATCTATCTATCTATCTATCTATCTATCTATTATCTATCTATCTATCTATCTATCTATCTATCTATCTATCTATCTATCTATCTATCTATCTATCTATCTATCTATCTATCTATTATCTATCTATCTATCTATCTATCTATATCTATCTATCTATCTATTATCTATCTATCTATCTATCTATCTATTATCTATCTATCTATCTATCTATCTATCTATCTATCTATCTATCTATCTATCTATCTATCTATCTATCTATCTATCTATCTATCTATCTATCTATCTATCTATCTATCTATCTATCTATCTATCTATCTATCTATCTATCTATCTATCTATCTATCTATCTATCTATCTATCTATCTATCTATCTATCTATCTATCTATCTATCTATCTATCTATCTATCTATCTATCTATCTATCTATCTATCTATCTATCTATCTATCTATCTATCTATATCTATAGTGGTAACGTGCTGACCGCGGAATCGGACGGTTATGGACACACACTGACAAGAAGTCTCTTATTAGGGCGAAACAGTTGCCAGTGTTTCCAGGTTCCAAATATTTATCTAACTGATGTATGTTAGTCTATGATGAAAATACCAATCTGATATCAATAAATAACTTCTCACAAACCTCCAAATCACTTTACAGTACATCTTGTAATCCTGCTGTGTTATGATTTCCAACTTCTTTCTATTATTATATCATTGTAGATCCTTGAATGGCCAGAATGCAGTATAGCTGGATCAAAAGAAGAAGATAATCAAACCAAGGAGAATATTACATCTGGTTTTAAAAATCCTGTTGTAAATACAACAGATATCAGTCATGATGGACAGTATTTAGTTGCAGTTACAGACAATAATTTAGTATGCATTTGGAAGTTTTCCGGTTGATATATACATATATGTTTCATAGACTTTGTTTTCATTCCATTTTTTTTTCTGTTTCTTTTGTAAATTTAATTCTTTTCCACTTCTGTTGTTTTATTCATGTATACTTTAAGTCGTTGTTAATTAGTCATCGTATATATTTATATATGTATATCCTTAAATACAATTACATCGTAAATTGCCGACGATTTTATCTTCTTCCATGAATCAAATTTGGATTGTGTTACAGAAGTAGTCTTATACCACCTTGCGATTATCCTCTGAAAGTGTAATATTCTGAACAAAAACAGTCTGTTTGTATTCGAATTCACACTACAGGGTTCATTGACTTAATATAACCTCTTCGGATAACTGTTCGGGAATTGGAAACGAATTAGATACTTAAAAAAGTCTACATCTAAAGATGTTTCTCTACACGTAACCCTATTCATCTTTCGAAAATTCATGTAAATCATCTACTGTTTATGTAGAAAGAATGGAAAGGCTTCAGATGTGACATCACCATTGCCTTCTTAGTATTGGTTGTGTGTCATGGAATCATCACGTTAGTAATATACAAGGTGTGTTGTCTTTAGCAAGAAAGATAAGGTTACAGGTCTTCATCTACTCAGATTTCGATAACATGTGGTGCACATGTCTAGTCACTGTATCCTGATGCACTATTTTAACTGAAGTAATCTGAAGGCTGGAAACACGTCAAATGTTGCATCGACCCATCAAGTATCTGATTGTTGGTATGAACCATTTAGGGAAATGTGACATTTGGTGAGACAGCACAGACCGACAGTTGGATGCTAACTAGGCGTTATGACTCAGAATTGATTTAAATAGGAAAGATGCATCCACACATCCTAATCTGAATCGTTTTATCTTTTGATTAAATGTATTTCCTTGTCTTTCGTATTACTCTGTGTCTTGTGATGTTATGTAACTCATAGCAACTTGAACGGTTAATTGGTATTGCCGGGTTTCATATTGATATCAAATGACTGCAAATGCAACACGTTTATTTCATCCAGCTAGTACCGTGTGATGTGTTAAGAGTATGCTGATATGACGTCAATAGTCACTTTTGAACTACCAACTTGAATCCTAAGTTAGAAACTGGCTGCTAGACCATACTTTCCTCCTAGGTGAAGACACAAGGGTCTTCTGGACATGTTGAACAGAAATTCGAGTTTGTTTGGTATACATTTCACTGTCAAATGTAAGATGTTGCTCCAGGACTGGTTTTCTGCAAGTACTGCCAGTTTAATGATAGGGAGTGAAGTGGTGGGGGAGGTCCATCACCTCGGACTGGATGATTGCTGATGAAGTCTCAGCTTGGATAAAGAAGGCCAACTTGCGTTATCTGTGGCGCCGGCTGGTGAATGACTATGTTTTACAGTCCTGTTATGCGGCTGAGACGTGGCCGTTAAAAGTACAAGACATGAAGCGGTTGCAGGTATGTGATCACGTGTCTTCGTAGGATTGCTCACGTTTGGTGGAATCACCGTATGAGTAGTGTTGAGGTCAGGTGATGGGCTATGAACTTTAGTGGACCGAGATGGCTTGGGCGTATACTGCAGATGTCGAGCCACCGTCTACTTCGACGTGTGTTTCTGTTTAGGTAGGATGGATTAGTTTGGGTTCATGGTGGTCAGACCGGGACTTGGCATCCGTCGATAATGTCACTAGCTGTTGGTGTGGGTTGTATGCGACTATGTAGACCGCCTGGTTGCGTTCCCTGAGACGATAAGAATCCGTAGTTAAGACCTGTTGTTGACATGGCTGAAAATTAGTCACAAGGACACAGAGGTATTGACTAGTTAACTTCTTCTAAACTTTGAATATTCGCACTTACCTCCATCTTCAAATTGTTTATTGTATCACACAACTTTATCTACTTTGATATCACTCTAATTCTCTTCACTTGTTCATTATATACTGCTGTGAAGTGTGACAACTTGATTCGGTGCAATTGTATGTCAGGTTCTAGGTCGATTCTATCCGCCGACTTGAATTATATCTTCCTTCAAGGTTATGTTATTAATCTCAAGTGATGACATACAATCAAATGGAAAAGAGTTTGACAATAACTCACTCAAAATAATTCTCGTAAATTCAAGAGTCAAAGGTGGTTCCATATGACAAATTTTAAAAAGGTATCTGACTGACTTCTTTATATAATCCATTGCTTCAAAATACTTTCAGCAGTTGAATATAAAAGCGGATGATGCTGTGAAACATTGCAATCCTTTTTTTCATGCTAATTTTCCCACCTGGAACTGTTTATATTGGCTGTGCAAAGTATATATTTTTGCTGAACACTTATTCGCGTAGTACCATATGTATCTATCCTCCACTGATATCGGGGAATCGAAGTCTGTAAAGATGTTATAATTAAATTATTTGTTAGTACACCGGTTATGTGACTCCGGCAGTTTTTCTTTTTCAGACTTGTCATTAATATAAAACTACTATAGAACTTGGAATTTTTGCACAGATATTAACGATACATTATTTCAAGCTTAGGCTTGGCATTAAAATTAGGTATTCAATCTCTTGTTATATTTCCATCAACATCGAACCTATTCACATCCAGCATTAAATTTTTATTTGTCCCTTGAGTTCCTAGTGAAACATAGGGCTTCAGTATCACATCTCCATTTCACTTTCCTCTCTTCAGTCTTTTTAACCTGACTCTACGACTGCCAACAACCTTTCATTTCTTCCTCACACCATCTCCTCTATGTCACCCTACGACGCCCATCTCATCATTTCTCATTTGGCTTCCCTATCGACGACCTGTCGTGTGACGTCCCCAAACAGTCTTCTCAGTGTACATCCAGTACAATCCATCACTACTTTCTTCTTCTGCATACTTGTTGGGCGATGGGTTCTTGGTTGGTTGATTCATTGCCAGCCAGAGTGCTTTCCTTGTTGCTTATTCTTATTATTCTGGCCATCCATCTTCAGCATTGACTCAGCGTAAGTCGCAGCTGTTGATGTATGCGTGCAGTTTGTTGGAAATGCTTTTCGTAACGCGACAATTCTCTCAACCATCAAATAGAAGCACTGACTTGAAGTTGACATTAGTGTTGAAAATGCGGATGTTGTTCACGCTTTATGCTGAGTACATTGCAGTGTAGTATAGTAGATCTCCACACTGATTTCAGATTAATGAAGGAACGCCTGTCTTGTCTTTCTGTCTTTCCAATCCTGGCTTTGATATCCTCATCTGAGCCACTTGTAGTTGAAAGGATGATTAAGAAAGTCTATTAAATTATTTGGTTTTACACTTAATTAGGTCATTGTGAAATAGAACTGCGGTATTTATCAGTAACACTATGCTCGACTATTGATTCACTTGACCAATTTTCACGTGGTAGGTTGGTGACTATTCTTTTTCCTGAAAAGACTGGATCATGTAGCTGTCGATTAGGTTTTGTTCTAAATGTTTGACTGCCAAAAATTCTTTTGAATATCCTTCTTGAAGGATTTTCATATCCTTCTAATCTTTGTCCATTGAATCCAATAATACTCTACTTGACTTTCTCTAAAACATTGATGGTGTTGTGTTTTTTAAAGTGAACAGTTTAATCATGAAGCTTTCATTGTCATTCTGAACAAAGTCATCAGCACAAACTTCAAAAAGAAGTGAGCTATGGAGTTTTTCTTCACAAAAGGACTTAGTAGCTTGTCCTGAAGGCCTTGTGTGTGATCGGTTGTTTCTGACAAAGTCTTGTCATTGTCTCCATGTTTATTTCGATTGGTTCTCTTGCTGACGTGAACTTTGACCTACTTTTTGTTTTTTATTGGTTAATGGATTGGGTTAATATCAATATATCTGTGGATCACTGAATGCCAAGCTTCTCGACATTCTCTCGCATTTTTTGTATATCCTCTATCCAGGATTTTCACATTTTCCCTTTCAAATTTATATCCGCAGTTGTCCGCATGCATTGGTATGAGCGAAGTTATGTCATGATGCTTCATTGCCAGTTGATATTCATGTAGACGGATACACAGAGGGTGACCAATCTGTCAGAAATAGTTTTTTTTACACAATATCTGCAGTTTAATTGGTAGATAACATTTGGCTTGTCCTCCTTCCCTATTGCATATTTGACCTGTATAACAGAGAGTGGAAAGATTTTGCGGGTTTATGAGCTACAGCGATTCCAAAAGGCTTCAATAATCTAATCGTGATCTCGGAGACATTCTTCATGTAAGGTAAGACAATCCATTTGTTCGTGCTCAACGTAGACTTCTTGATTGACGACGAACTATGCAAACATGTTTTGATGAAGTTGCGTAGATAGCTATTCTTCCGGAAAACAGTCTTCTTGTTTCCTTCGCAAGGTTGATGGACTTCAGTGTGTCTTCACTCTTTCGAACAATGTTTTTATAAAACTGCTTTTGTTTGATTTTTGATTGTTGCTACTGTAGTTGATGATTTGATCTGTATTGGTTGGTTTTCTGTTTATTTCAGTTTTCCAGAATCCGTCCTATTGATCAGAATATCTAAAAATGCATATTTGTCGATTAGTCCCCCCTCATTTATGATTTGATGTCGTTCAAACTGTTGTCGCTTAATTTGTAGGCACTTTTCAACTCGTTTATTTAAATGATAATAAGGTACTGGTTAGATCGATGCTAATACCGCTGTTTCCAATCTTCGTATCACTGCTTCACATAATCACCCCTGATCTAGGTGATCCCATTAGTGTTCCCTTTGTCTGTTTGTGGACTTTGCCGTTGAGCTGATTATATATTGTAGGGCATAAATCAATTAATTCCATCGTAGGCATAAATTAATTCAGCGAAGAAAATTTTCTTGTCGACTAATCATTTTCAACATTAGGCAACCAACTACATATCGAAAGCCAGAGTGGATTACACCAATCTGCGCCAAATTTATAGCCATTGCAACGTTATTCTGACCGTAAAAGGTCTGGTTTACAACACTTCGTTGTGAGCAGTTCTCCTCTACGCCTGTGAAACCTGGTCTCTCCAAGCTAAGGGTCTGTGATGATTGTGTATTCGATTAGGATTGCTTATATCCGGTGGCAACACCATGTGAGTCTGAGATACGACAAAACATGTTTACAAATGATAGGAATCATTCACTAGGTGAAGTTATCTAGTAACACTGGGTTCAGTGGCTTGGATATATGTTACGCATGTTGTCTTAACTGCTTCCACACTGTTCATTGTTTGCTAACCCTGGGACTGAAAGGAA